AGGGTACGGGTCAAAATCAAACCAGGAATTGGACCGCAGGTTTTCGTCTTTGGTTCCAGCGGGGCAACCCGTTTGGGGGGTTACCGCATTTGTTGACCTCCATAGCCATATGAATGGGGTTAACGCATTTTTCCCTTGGTAGGGAGAATGCTTTTAGGGGAATTCAACAGTTTCCCTTGGTGGGCACTGATGTTTCCAGGGGAAATATTGGGGAACAGCCGCTTACCTTAACACCACGCACGTGCGTCCGCCGACCCAGCGCGGCCAAGGTGACCTGTGAGAGCCGGCTGCCTGCTGCATGCCAGGCACAGCCCGCCATCGCCATTTTGTTGAACCCCGGCCCTTAGCTCGCTCCTTAAAAGATACATTCTGCACATTTGAAACATGGCTTTTTCCAGCAAAAGAAAGGGACAGCACTATTTACAAGTTGCAATGTTCAGGTGTAATGAACCCAGGGGATTCCTTAAGGAGACCACAGGAAGGGATGGCTTAAAAGTAATTTTTATAAGCCCTTACTTGCTTTGCTGGTGCGAAAGGTGGATGTCGTTGAATGAACCCAATAATTCCCTCAAAGGAAACCACCAGTTGGATGGTTCATAAGGGCCATTCCCTCATTCCCTCATTCCCTGCTGAGAAGCAGCTAGATTAGTCAGGCAGGCAAAGTAGAGCTGAAACGACAGAATTGTGTCTGGGATTCCTGTTGATAGCGAGGGTTAGCCTTCGTCTTATCTTGACCGGCCCTTTATCATATTTGTTTTCCTGTGGCTACCGGTCCCCAAAAGAAGGACAAAAGGCAGGCGATTGGATACTTTTAGATACTTTGCGCCTGGAAAGGGTGTCATTTTCAGCAAATGCCATTCACGGCTATGCAGTTGGCGCTGGTTTCTTGGTTGAACCCATGCCCTTAGCCAATGTACCCGGATTTTGTAGAGTCGGTTTCACCCCCACTCCCGAAGTCCGTGGACTTTCTGCTTTTTGAGTCTCCAATTTTGTGGCAAACAGACTTGTTTTTGGCCAATCCACTTGGGCAGTGAGATCAAGTGGCCTGTTTCCGCAATGCAGATCTCCAGCTGCGGACGTTTGACAAGTTTTCTCGAAATCAACTCGTTGACCTCCAGGCCCTGGCCGAAGAGCAGAACATCTTGGGCGCCCTTCTCGGCTTTTGACTTTCGGAGGCAGGCGGAAGGCTGGCGTTTCTTTTCTTTTTTGCTTTATGTACTTTTTGTGTCGATTTGCCGGCCCTACCTGGAGTCTCCAATGACCCTTAAACAAAAAAGAATCAAATGTTGGGTAGGAACGTTCAACTGGAAGGAGCGTGAAGATGTGTCTTGCAGAGATTGTGTACTTGCATGCAGGTGTGCAGCATTCTTGTTTTCCACAACCAAACTTGGACCAAACTTTCAAGAACTAGAAGTTAAGCTTGTTGTCCTCGCCTAGTGGCTGGAACCAACATAAAGAATGAGACGCAACTTATCTTGCGTGGGCCAAGCGAAGAACCCGGAAGCAGAACCTGGCAATCCATTCGGTCGGCTGAGAGGCTTCCCCCGCTCAGAAATGCATTCGGCGCGCCCAGGCAGGATTGTCCACAAGTCGGGCAACGCCCACCGGAGGCCCATGGATTTCCATCGGATTGGGGTGGTTAGACATACGCAAGCTGGGATGAAAAATAACTACATCGATTTATTTGAGCATGACGGGACCTCCAAAATGGTTCTCCTTTTAGCTGTCCTTTGACACACTAGGATTCTTCGGCAAATTTCTGCCTCCAAGTCTTTCAAATATACCCACAAGCCATCAAATATATCAGGATCTTCAACTTGGTTGCTTGCAAAGTAGCCTTTTGGATCTCCCTGCTGGGAGAGTGAGATTATGGGACGGGGTGTGCCAAAACAATATGAGGGTCGCTGAGATGATTCCGCACTGATGCACCTTGTGTGGGCACCAGGGATGCATTGCACGGGTGATTGTTTCAAGGGATTGTCAAATTCAGAAAGTGGGTTGTTTCCCTTCAACCCGCCACTTAGGAATGACTTGGAGTATGGTAAGAGGCCAGTTGCATGGTTGTATTATTATGGAAGGAGCCTTGGGCGCGGGACGTACTTCAACAAGCCATGATAGAAAATACAAGGACAACACGCATAGCTCTGCGCAGGTCCAGGTGGGTGGTTATGCTAGGCTTGGCCCCTATCTCGGGAAATTGGGGGCCTTTTGATTTTTGGAAGAGCCCGGCAAAAGAGGAGACCCGGGGGGGGGGGGTGGGGGCAGTGGGGGCGGTAGGTTTGGCGCCCCCGGGGGTCAGGGGTGGCACCGAGTTCTCCATGAGCTTCCCAGGCACAAGCACCACAGCTACCTCATCTCCACCTTTAAGGCGCCGTGAATTCCGACGTCGGATGGAGTATCGTGGAATATGCGCTGCCTGTGGAGCTTTTATTTTTATTTTTGGTTTGGCCGGTGTGGGTGTTGGTTCATGTCAGGTGTCCTTGGTTTCGTTTTGTTTCTTCTTTTAGTTGTGTCTACGAGCCACGTGTGCTTTGAGTATTGCCAGCTTAGCTTCCCTTGCGGATATTGACATGTGTGGTGCGCTCGTAAAGAGAGTGCTTTCTGATGATTGTCCTGCTACGCAGTGGCAAATGTTGGGAGTGCCCTTAAAGAATCAAGGGCCCTTCCTCATGAAGTATACTTTTGAGGGTGCAAGAGAGAGCGTGGCTGTTGATATTTTTCGTATTGCTTTGCGTTTGCGATTTGTTTTATCGTTTATGGTGGGGGTCGTTCTGGCTGACGTGCTGTGGGTTGGGAAGAAATGTGGAGGCGTTTAAGCACATTTTCCAACTGGGTGTGGAGCATAGTGTGGAGATGTTGTCCTTCATAGGTGTGTTGCTTTCTTTGGCAATTCGCCATGTTTGGGGCTGCAAGCACCAGTCAGCCGCCCACATGTTCTGTGCGGGGGTGAACGAGCTTGGACTTTACCCGGAGTGCATGCGTTTGAGAAAGTCAGCCATAGCTGGGTGTTCAGCCACCCTGAGTGCATGCACGAGTCCAAAAATGAGCCACTGGCCCCTTCCCTGGTCAGGGAAGTTTAAAATTGCTGCCCCTTCCATTAAAAATTGGCCCCTTCCACGTGTTCCAAATGTGCTGCCCCTTCCCTCAACGTGGGGACTACCCCTTGGAAGGAACCCAGCCTCTGCACGAGTCCAAACATGCGCCACTGCTCCTCAAAATCGCCCCTTCCCATGGGGAAGTTTCAATCGCCAGGCAATGGAGCTTCTGCTGAAGAACGTCCACTCACTGGAGCTCAAGTCCCTAGCGCGCGCACCCAACGACCGATTGGAGTTCGGGGAAGGGACCGGGCCAAAGGAGCTCACGAATTCGCCTCTCCGTCGCGCCCTTTTTGCGAAGATGGTTTGCAGGGCCTCAGATTCCATGTTCGTGGAGAGTTTGCTTTTTCTTGGGCGCTCCTTTCATTCAGGCTTTGGATTGTCGAATATTTTTCGCAGGTAGTTGCACAGTTAACTGCGCCCCATCAAATCCGTCAAGAAATCTCCACCTTGAATAAGGTGGCGGACTTTAGATGAGCAGATACAAACCAAGGAGCCAAATCCACCAGTCTGATCTCCACACACGGGAGCAGCATTGAAGCAAACCCGCGTGTTTTGCAGCCGGATGCTTTTGTTGCGCACCCCTGCCAGCCTTGTGACGCCATCGGTTTCAAGATTCCGGCCACTCTGGCCAGAAACTTTTTGCCAGATTTTGCTGGCTGTTGTCATAAGGCTGAAAGGTTGTACTGACTGTTTTTGCCTCCTGGTGAATGACTGGGTTCCCCAGTAATTAGTGCCCTTTTACCCTTTCTTTTGTTGGGGGAGGGTTCCCCACGAAAATAGACTATCGACAAGAAAACACAAAATCGGGTACCAACCTATTCTACCCTTTTTTGCTGGAGGACCTAGATAAGCAATATTTGCTTGTTTCATGAAGGCCCTTTCATCGTGGCATCAAATCTTGGCTCCCGAAGGCCGCCCGGTTCAACTTCGCCTTTTAGATCTTTTTAGTGTTTAGTGGTAGATCCGAATTCAACCCCAAAGTTCAAAAAACACTTTAAGCATTTCGGAGATCGGGCTTTGAGCGGATCTGAAATCGGGCAGCCCAGAAGTGTTGGTTTGAAACTTGGGAGGCTTGGCCGCGGGGTTGTGATCCAGTGGGATGTTGACGACGTTGGGCACGGAGCTGCTGAACCTGGTGAACTAAAGAGTGAAGTACCCAGGCGGAAGAACAGAGGGGACCAGAGCATGGTTGTTGTCGGGAAACGGCTTTTACATTTTTGCTTATTGTGGTTTAGTGGTTGAAATCCAACCACTGAACTGCTAAAGTTTAATTTTTTGCTCCCCTTCCAACGTCAGCCAAGAGAAAGGGCATCCAAACCTTTCCCACGCTACTGCACTTGGGTGAGGGGAGTGCCCCCCCCGGAATTCCACTGATAGTTCCATTCTCGCGAGTCTTGGGAAAACTAGAAAACATGATTTGAGACCCCCCCCCCCCCCCCCTCCCCTTGGCACACCCCCCGGCACAGCTTAGGCTCAAGCATGACCCGAGCATCGAGCATGTCCAGACATGCCGAGCAGCAACAAGTTACAGGGGAGAAACCAAAAAGGGCCTTCTTTCTCCAAAGAGGTTTGAGATTTTGCTGAAATTCAGTGAGTTTGAGGAGATTTCATAGAAGTTTAGGGTAGTTGAAATAGCTCACATGGACATGGAACCTCAAATTGGATGATTCCTCGCATTTCACTGCAACCACCCGTAGTTTCGAGGTGTCAAGGGGCAGAGTTGGTCCTTCTTAGGCCCGACCCGGCCTGTTCTCAGTTCCATTCGTTGGTCGCGAGTGGATTTGTTTTTTGGTGTTTCCAAGGCAAGCGGTTGTTATAAAACTCAAGTTTTCCGGATGTTATACAATTCCACTTGCCATTAGTTCTTCTAAGAACCCAATGCAAGATCCCTGAATGCCCGGGGTTAAACCCAGGGGCCAGTCACGCTCGCCATCGGTGCATCATGGCCCTCCTTGGGGCGGCCTTTGGCCAATGGCAGAGGACGCGGTCCTGGAATGGGTTGCGCAGGCGAGGGAAACATCATTTTGATGACTTTGTTTGGTGTGGCTCAAATTTAAAGAGCTAGGGTTACGCAGGTTTTAGTCGTTGGTTCCATCTACCAAGCTGCCGTTTTGGTACATGTGTTTGAGCCACAGCCGTTTAGCAAGCTGAACACTTTGAGATGTTTGCAGTGGGCATGCAAAACAGCTTGCGTGGTAAACCGGATGCACAAGCCCCTGTTCATTGATAGAGGGGGTGTCCCTGGTTCATCACTTTTGGAGAAGTACACCCCCCTATCAGCGGGATGGGCTAATTAATCTTGGGTCAACAGTAGTGCTGGCTGTTTGGGTGGGAAATGGAATGAGCATAGCTGCCCTTCCAACGATCAGTTTGGTTCAACGCAGATGGCTTCCACTGGATTCAGTGTGGTTCTACTCCTTCACCACCATAGCTTGTTCCACAAAAAAATGGATCTGCCAAACGTGGTTAAGTAACCAGCCCCTGGTAGGGTAACCTCTCGGCTCCGCCAACCTCCAACTCCCAAGTCCGCTGACCCCAACCTTCAACCCAACCCCACCCCAACCCCACAAACCCTCAACCCAACCCCACCCCAACCCTCAACCCCACTGCCACCAACCCCTAAACCCCAAGGCCCCCCAACCCCACAAATCCTCAACCCAACCCCACCCCAACCCCCAACCCTGCTACCCCCCAAGCCCGCTGACCCCCCCGCCCCCCAAAAGCGGAACCAAAAGGTCTTGCGGGTTTCTCTTCGCCAGGTGGCGCGGCCGGTGCGGGGCCTCCGGGAGCTGCAGGTGGGAGATGCCTTTCGGGGGCATTTTTCCTGGGGTGGTCCGTTACTCCAAATTCACTCTAAGTTTCACTCCTTGTAGAAACCGATTTCACTCTTATGTTTTTTCTTTTGGCAGATTACTGCTACTTCTGCGATATGAGCAAATGTTCTGCTTTTAGGGGGTGTCGACAAGTGGACTTGAAGGTGGGGGGGGGACGTCAGTTTGCACCTGGAGTCTTCATGACCCTGTAAAAATTGGGTCATGACCCCATTATTTAGGGTAATGAACCCATTTTAAAGGGTCATGGAGACCCTAGGTGTTCACACAAGAAGAACACGTATATAAGGGGGAAGTCACTTGTTTTGTGTTGTTGCGAAAGGGGAGCCAAAGGGAAATGCAAGTACAAGGGGCGAGGGACATCAGTTAGTCTTTGCTTTTGCCAAGAAACGAAAAGAGAACTAGTTAACTTGCTGCTGCTCACAAGGGAATGTGGGAATGAACCTAGGAATGTCCTGCAAAGGAAACCTTAAAGTACGGTTTACGGGGGGTCATTCCAATTCTCATTCCTTGAGCACCAGCAAGTTAAACTAACTATGACGAACCCACGCAACCAGGTCCACTTCTTGCAGGGGGTTCGCTGACCGCATGAGGGCGGGCGGCCTTTCCAGCAGAAACCGCCTGCCTGATGCGGGGGTGAATTTTAATATGGGACCCTGTGGGGATTTACGTCACTTTTGGATCGGTGGTTCAAGCTTTTAAAAGCCGTGGCCATTCAGAGGATCTGTTTGAACCAAGTTTAGGGAACATTTGCATCCCGGTGCCCTTTTCCTTTTTTTTGGTTGGGGTTGCCTTAAATTTACCACAACCCCCTCCCCCCCCCCCCCCCCCCTGCCCGGGAAAAAACAAACAAACACACAAATATATTAAATACACATGAACTATAGGGGTCCGCAAACCCAAAACGACACGCCCATCGAAGAGGTTCAAGTTCTAGCCGTTTGGCCAGGATGGCGAGGTCCTGCTGCAGGTGATGCGGGATGTGAACCCGGAGGAGACGTGACGATTCATGGGTATGGCTTGTAGGGGGCAACCTCTGAAATAGATGGTAGTGGTTGATTAAGGAGTTGATCCCCACTTCTGTGATAATTACACGGCTGTTGTTTATGTTTTCTTGAAAAGGGGGATTAGTCTTTGGGAAGCCCTGTTTGCTGCATCACGGAAGTTGTCATGTCCCACAGCCCAGTCAAACATTGATGGCTTTCGTCTTGGTACCCAATTTGAGGGGCCATCTACTTTGTTCACATTGAACATGTTGTTTCAAGCAAAATAGGTTTTTACCCCCCCTGTCAAGCCAGCTTTTAAAAAGGCTACCCTTAAAGCAACATACTACTAGGGGACGCCCCAAAACGACGACCGGGCTTTGAAACTATATGTCTTATTGATCTTATGGCTGGGCTCACAATTTTAAGCCAACCTTGAAACTGCATGTCTCACTTGTTGGTTCCCAATTCTTAACCAACCTGTACAAGGGGCCCTCAAAGCACATGACCATATCTTGCTGGTTCGAATGGCAAGGAATGGCAGGGAATGGCTTCGCATGACTCGTTGCCTGGCTAAACATGGGGCAACCTGCAGAATTGTCTGGCTCTCCGGTTCTCCGATTCATTCCAAAGATCCCTCTTGACTCCATTTTGCGAAACAACACGACATTGCCACACCTTTGCTTTGGTCCAGTTGCAGTTCGCGACTCAAAAGCACTACCTTTTCATGTCCAGCTCCTTTGGGCAGGTTTCAGAGGAAGAATTGTAGCTATGCGTTTTGCCTAAGAGGAAGGTCAATGGGGACGGGACATGTTGCGACTTTGCGACGTTTTTTTTTTTCAGCGACGAGGTAGGCCGCCGGCTTTCGGGATCTAACCACTTGCTTGCTGCTTCTCAGCAGGGAGTGGGGAATGAACCCTATAAACCATCCATCCGATGGTTTTTGCTTCTTCCCGTCCGGTTTATGCTTAAGTCCCGAACTGGTTGTCGTTCCCCACTGCTTGCGCTGCAGGACTTTCAGGACAACGGGCTCCGGGGCTTGCAGGAGGGCCTGCTGCGCCATTTTCAGGCGCCATTCGCAACGTCCGGGTGGGTTGCGAGGAGCGGCGCTTGGCTTGTCCAGACCCCAAACCTCTCCAGACTCAATTAGGGAAACGTTTTTTTTGAGGGGGAGTAGCTTGAAGTGAACCCATGTTGCTTCGTTTTGGAATCAGATCTCATACCCCCTCTAAAGGGGGTCCAACAAATGTTGAACCCACATTCAGCCGCTTGGACATTGTCTTAAAGTCGCCAAGATCTTTGTTTCCCTGAAAGGCACTTCCCGCTGAATTCTGCGATTGTGTCAAAGAAGGGTTTAGGCCTATCAATGGTTGCCAGGTGTCCTCCAAAAGGGGGTCGCATCGAACATCTGGATATGCGTATTTGACACGAGTCATTCATCTAGAGTGGTGCTCAAAAATTTAGCCGACACGATTCTCTTGCAAGACTCTGGGTCGGTGTCCTTTTGGAGGATGCCGAAAGGGTTAGCGGTTCGCATGCTGTCAACCTGTCAGTTACTGGCTGGTGATCAGCTCTTGCCCGGTATAGGATCCCTGTCGGCGCTTGAAGCTACCCTTGTTTGGGTTTTGTTGAGACACGAAAGGGAAGCCCCTCATTTGGGGCAGGCCGTTTCAAGTCAAACATCACCCAGATGGACTGGCACTGTGGTTATGAAATTCAATAGAGGCCTTTTTAAACGCGGGGGTTGGTGAAGACGAATCCCCACGTTTGTGACTAAAGGGCCCCTTTTTGAAATTCATACACCACACCCCCGAACCCAACCACCTAGGTCTGTTAGTTCCCCCAACCCAAACAAAAAAACACAGACACACACAAACAAATAAACACAAACAAGCACCTCCTTTGCCCCCCCAAACCCCAACCCCCAACAAGAACCCAACCGAACTCCACGCGGGACGCCGGAGAGGGCCGCCCGGGCAGTGGCTTCCATAGCGCCCAGCAGCTGGAGCGAGCTGGCGGGTTAGAAGTGGCGCAGCTGGTGAGCCTTCGCCGCAAAACTGTCCTTGGTGCGATGAGTAAGCTAGGTCCCCCAGCTAGGTGCCAACTTTTACCGTTTCTTTTTTGGGGGAGGGTTCCCCTACTAAGATAGACTACAGAAAAATGGGTGCACTTATTCTAACCTCTCTACTGGAGGACCATTTTGGTTGGTAGGTGAATTCACCACCCATTTTAGAACCTATTTAGTGGGGATTGGGATGTTCACGGGGGGTACGGTTTGGATTTTGACCCATGGCCAACTGTCCTTGTTGCGACAAGTACGGAATGAGAAATGGAGTCTTACACCTATACCCCATCCAACTTGTTTTCCTTTAGTTTAGGGGACCTGGGTTCATTCCCTCATTCCCTACTGAGCAGAAAACTGGGGGTTGATCTGTGGATATATTTACCCGTATAGCCTGTAGCCAAGGGAAACAGCCTTTAAAAACCAAAAGACAAGTAGCTGGGTAGCTGCTATCTGGGCAGCTGCGATCCACTGGCCCCCAATTGACCATGGGTAGCTTTTCCCGGTTGGCAAACATCGTCTTTGTGGTTTCCAACCAATGGTCCCATGTAAAGGAACTTTTGATCAACATCCAACTTTCGGTCGGGAAGGGATAGTCCCTGATCGAGCTCACTTCACAGATTGTTGAGTGGTGTGCGTCCCAAAGCCCTGAAGGGACCGTCAACACATGCATATCGGCACGAAGTGAGGTCGACAGATCGGGTTGGTGCATTGGAAGGAAGTTTCGGATGGACTCCAGCAGCATATAGGCTAGGAGCCAGTTGGAACATGTTTGAACCATAAAGAGAAATCACGATTTTGGCGGTCTCCTGACGAAACACACCCATTTGGCGACCAGTTTTTTGATGTTGGGCCAACTTTCCATTGCAGCTTTCCTCGCTGCCTATATTTTGCCAGAGGTTTCGAAAGTGGTTCCAGTACGAACCTGCGGCCATAGGGGGAGTGGTTCCAGTAAACTACGCACCACACCAGGGGTTCATACATGTGTCCATGTGAATGCGAGTTCGCGGCCTCCCCAATTTTTTGAGGTACCCTTCTAAACACTCTTCTGGGGTCCCCTTTTGGCACACGGCCCTCAGGATCTGGGCCACGCTGGACAACGACCTGCCGCAGCGCACCAAGTAGCTCGGTTTGACGACCCCGATCATATGCCAAAGTGGGGGACCCCAATGGCGATGTAAAGGCTACCCTTAGAAACCCAGCTGCCCAGTGGGTTGCTTCCTGTTTTCCGCTCCCTTTTTTTTTGGGGGAAGGGTTCCCCTTTAAACTCAACCAACGAGAAAGGGTGCCCTTTTTCCCATGGCCACTGGGCATCTGAGGAAAATAGAAAGATAGAAGAGATGTGCTTGAGTGCTTTACCCCAAAGGAGGCGAAAAGAGGATGAGAACAATGGGCATGTCGGAAGTCGGAGGAAGCAACACTGTTTGAGTGCAGGAGCTTCTCGAACGTCCAGATGCGTAAATAATTTCGAGTTGCTTTCTTGAGCCGTTGTTTTTTCGTTCGCGAATGACTTCCAGTCAGAAACAATCGGGGCACATGCAACCTCCTTTTTTGTGGCTCACCCATTGTGGCATAACATGAGTGCTAACTCTACCTATTGGTTGGGATTGTTACTCTCTCGTAATTTGTCCAGATTCGTCCACTCTGGCGAAGGTATGTCGAGATCTGCCAGCAACTGAGCCCCGGCGCTGCGCAGCAGTGCCCCGGCCATTGGGGGCCAGGGAAAAATTGCGGTTCCCAGTTGATTTTGAGGATCCCCTTGTTGGGCGCTTCGTGATGTATCCTTCGAGGAACCCTGAAACGGTCAAGGGCTGCGCCCACTTGCAACCAAAGTGAACGGAACGGTTCTGACCAAAGTGAACGGTTTTGGCTGGCTGCTTGTCGTTTGCCTTGAGTTGTGGCTGTAAATTCTTTAAAGGTTTCATTCTTTAGGTGCTTCAGTTTGCAAGTGACGGGGAAATGAGGCCAACCAATGCTGACCAACGCCTAAGAAGCCCTGAACGCCTGGGGGGTGGCGTGTTTTCAGTTTTCACGCTCGAGCCAGGTGACATTTCTGGGCACAAGCCAGCTATTGGCCACACTATGTAGGCATGTTGCTCGGAGCCCGCATTCCACCCCTATGGCACGTCATTCGGTGCCTGCTCCCAAGGTTTGGGGCGACCCAAAAGTTTTGGAGGTCGTCCTTTCCCTGGCACATCAACTTGCCATTTGCTAGTTGCCAGGTTGGCTAATACGCAGGAAAGACAGGATAGTCCAGAGTCAGCTGCAATTTCACTACCTGCATCTCTTGAAAGTTAATAATTCCCACTCCAAAAAGGAAAAAGTACTTTCTTCCATGCTGGAGTGCTAATTTTCACTCCGTGTTAAAATGCCCGTTCGGGTAGTTCCGACTGCTCAGGCATCCGTTCAGACCCGTTCGGAACCCGTTCGAAACCCGTTCGAAACCCGTTCGAAACCCGTTCGAACCCGTTCGTACCCGTTCGGACCCGTTCGGACCCATTCGGAGGTACGTAAAAAATACGCCAACATTACGCAATAAGCCTTTGATAGTTTATGTGCAGTGCTGGTATGAACACTTCGATGGTAGTGAAAATATCCGTTCAAGAGTAAAAATACCCGTTCGAAAGTGGAAATACCCATGTTGCTAGGCCAAAAAGTACTTTTTCAATTTTGGAGTAGAAATTCTTAACTTCCAGGAGAACCAGGTACACATATTTCCCTCTTTTTTCCTCATCGGGCGTGCAAAAACGCAAATGAAAAGGGAGGTGTCGGTTTTACATATGTGTCTCATTTTTCCCAGGGCTCGCAAAAACGCAAATGAAGGTTTTCACTACTGGACACATCTCCATTTCTTCCCGGGGCAAAAAAGAACATGTGTAGGCTCGCAAAACGCAAAAGAGCAGATGGACATATTTTCTGACATTTTTGCCCCGGGCAAAACCCCAAAATGAAAAGGAGAGGTGTCGGTCTTCCGAGGATCATGCTGCTGGTGGAGCGCTTCAGCGAGGAGCCGGGCACTCCGGCGCCAGCGACCCCCACCCGCTTCTCCTTCCCCGGGTCCTCCCCCAGCGTGCGTTTCTCGGCTCGCAGGGGGCCGGCAGGACCAGGGCAACTTGTGGTCCATCGAAAAATGGGCCGGGGGGGTGGGGCGGGTTTCGGGGGAGGGGTCCATCCAAATGGGTTGGAAATGGGTTGGGGTCCAAAAAGTTTCCGGAGCTGCTTGTTGGGAAGACCGGTGTTTGTAGCCAATCCACTCAGGAATAGGAAACCACTACCCAAAACATCGCGGCACGAACACTCAAACTTGTGCGTCTGTGTCCCTTTGGCTTTGTGACCATCAGAGTGTCCCGCAATTTGAGGCAGAACCAGATGGTGGGCAGTGTGGGTAGTGTGCTGCGCGTGCATTTCATAGTTGCAGTATGGAGTTGTCGTTGTGCGTGCTGTATCGTTGAAGCAGAAGCAACCCGAAAGCCCGCTGCGTAATGGGATGGGGATGGAGAACCCTCCACGTTGCATTGATGTGCTACATTGATATTTGCTTTGTTTTGGCAGTAGTTGGACGTGACACAAGCTTGTGAGGGGGAGTGTTTGAAAGGCGATGCCGTTGACATGCCCCCCCCCCAAAAAGAGTGGCCCGTTCTAAAAGGCGAGTGAACTTGACTCATACATTGATCATGGAAAGGACCTGAAAATAGTAATTTGGCAAGTGAACTTGACTCAAACATTGGTCATGGAAAGGACCTCAAAGGAAGAATTTGGAGAGTGAACTCGACTCAACATTGATCATGGAAAGGACCGCAACAGAATAACTTGGCGAGTGAACTTGACTCAAACATTGATCATGGAAAGGACCGCAAAAGAAGAATTTGGCGAGCGAACTTGACTCAAACATTGATCCTGGAGAGGACTTCCAAAGAAGAATTTGGCGAGTGAACTTGACGCAAACATTGATCATGGAAAGGACCTGAAAAGAAGAATGTGGCGAGTGAACTTGACGCAAACATTGATCATGGAAAGGACCTCAAAAGAATGTGGCGAGTAAACTTAGGGACATCCAATCAGCTTTCCTCCAATGCATGAGGGGGTGGTGTCCCTCTTACCCTCCACAAGATGCAGGGCTTCAACTCCCCAGTTCCCACCAAATCAGTCCAGAATTGTATGGGTGACTTCTGATAAGGCCGGCACTCTTCAGCTGCCTTTTGGACACATCACTTGGCTTCTTCCTTCAAATTTATGCAATTTGAGGCACCTTTTGAACACATCATCCCCTTAAAACTCGGAGACGTGGGGCCCCCACACCCCCCTGCTCCCCCCGTCAGGTCGGGGGGGTGGAGCCATTTAGCAATTTCAGGCACCGAGCTGCCAGACTTCCTGGAACTGGGCCTCGACGCGGAGACGAGGTTCCGGAGGCTCAAGGAGCACTACATCGCCCTGAAGGAGGATCAGGCGCACCATCTTCAGTGTCTTCCCCGGAATTGGCTCCCCTTATTGATCAGGGCTCCTTAAGAGATACACCTTGCCCATTTAACACATGGCTTTTTCCGCCGAAATGAAGGGAAACACCATTTACAAGGGGCAATGTTCAGGTGTATAATGTAAGGATCCCTGTTGATGGTTTCCTTTTTGTGGCCCCCTTTTTTGTTTTCTCCTCTATCCAGGCAAAATATGTTGATTTGTGTGGGGTCCTGATTCCAGCCAAGTCTTGTGCGTTTTTTGTGGATGGTCATCAACCACGAATTCTGCCTTGAGTATGGAGAACCAGTCACCAAAAACATCCGAAATGAGTTCATGTACGGATCCACACAATCTTCCTTTGAAAGAGGTAACGTTGGGATGGATGAAGCCTTATGAAGACTCGGATGAGCCACCTATCAGGTGTGAACATTTGTCCGTCCAATGGCCCGATGGGCAGCTTCCAGCTCTTTGATGCCCTGTTTGCTTGAGGGTGGACATGTTCGAAGAATGTGGTGGGGTTTCTTGGCCCTCACTTCACGGTTGTTCGCCTTTTTTTTGCGGGGGGGGGGGGGGGGGGGGGGGGGGGTTCTGTTCATTCTGAGTAGGGGTGCAAAACAGAAAGTGCTTTGCTACCAAGGGTTGGAAAGTGAAGTAGGGTGCGCGTGCCAAAAGAAAAGAAGAACCCCGACTTCGACATTGAGAACTAGCCAGCCAAGAACCACTGACTTGTCCAAGATCAAACTTTCAAGCATTCTCCACTTTGTATTTGTTGTTTTTCCGTTTAGGGCTGGAAACAACATCTAAGTCTTATAGCTGTTACCTGATTCGTTCCAGGAGGCTTTTAGCTCCTCACCAGGAGCGCTGGGAAGAGGAGCGCCAGAGGCTCATAGCAGACGTGGAGGCAGAGCGGAAGAAGCGAGTGGACGCGGAGGACGTCCTCGCTGTCAGTGTTTCTTCCACGGGCCAGAACTCGCTCCCTTTTTTTCGTTTGCCTTTTTTTGGGTCCCTTTGTTTGTACTACATGGGAAAAGTGACCCATGGTCAGAACTGGGCGGGAATTAATAGTTTTATTGATCAACCACCATGTTCGAAACCCTCCCGGGTTCCCCGTACTGTGGATGGTTGCGAAATCCGCTGCTCGCAGCACGGTTTATGAAACTATGGGAATGAAAACTGTTCACGATAGCTGGTATATACACATCATTCCGTTGGGGTTCTGAATGGTGGTGCGAAAATAATTTTGTCCATCAATAGTTCTCCTACATCGGGTGGGGGTGCCAAGCAGAAACCAGACTTTTTTGAGCTTGCGCAGAAGGAATCCAAAATGTTGGATGTTTTTTTGTTTTTCCGCTCATTCAGCTTGATGGGTCGTTCATTGGCAGATTGTGAGTGATACTGTGGATAACCGCCGTTCAGAAATCCTGGCATGATTCGATTCCCTAAAACAACAAAAACGTGAGTGCTGCATTCCCATGGTTTTATTTCGTTGTGGGAGAAGCGATTTTGTTCCTCCACGGTAATCTCTTGGACTTTTTGGTTCTCAGGAAGTAAGACTTAAGGGGTACCAGGGTACCCTTGTTTTTCACTCAAGCAAAAATGTCATAAAGGGGATCATTCTCACCAATTGTTCACTCAAAGAAACAGCCCGCACCTTTGTTTATCCTTGCATGTTCCGCCCGGACCCGTTTTTTTTGGTGTTTCTCACGCGGAAGAGCAACTGGCCGCGTCTCGTCCACGGCCCCGTGCCCCCGAACTCCGCGGGCGTGGTGCCGTTGGTGCCGTTGGCCAGGAGCAGCAGCGGGTGCTGAAGGTGGACCTGCGCCTGGCGGAGGAACAGGCGGAAACTCAGCTCCGGGCCAATAGTTTTCGTCTTGGGGGGTGTAGGTTTCCGTTGTTTTTGGTTGGAACCCAAATGGATTTTGTGTTCTTGTTTTTTTTGGTTGCCGGGGGGTAGGTTTCTTGTTTTGCTTTGCTTTCGTGGACAGAGCCAGCAGTGCTGTTGTGCGGATGGTACGAAGCTTCCGATTTCCACTAGAAAAAAAGCCTCCGGAGCCAAAAACAGTTTCTGTTGTTTGGTTGGAACCCACATGGATGTTGTGTTCTTTGTTGTTTTTGGGGTTGCTGGTTGCAACGAAAAATCATCGGGCTCCAAAACAGCAAATACAAGGAAGCTGATTGTGTGTTCGGTCCTGTTTTTCCCTCAACAGCCGGAAGCTATGGGTCTCTGCCCGCACAAGCTTTGGGGTGGTTGTTTGGAGGAAAAGGGTTCCCTCCGGAAAGGAAACCCAGAAGAAACCAAAAGGACCACCAAAGCCATTTTGTGCAAGATGGAGGGTAGCCTAAAAAGAGACACCCATTTGAGCTTGACCGCACTGGTGAACCAACAAAGCAACCAACGGAACCAAGTAGTATGGTGAATTACGTCTCACTTCGTGCAGCGAGAATAGGTGTGAAACCTAGATTTAGGGTTTAGGATTGGAAACGCTTGAGACATTTTTGCTAGTGACCCAAGTAGGCGTAAACCTTACATATTATTTGGCCTTGATCCAGTTTACGCGCTTGAAACGATGTGAGATAACTGGGTGAACCAGTTTGGATTCTTGGTCAAAGTGGAGCAATCGTTGCTCTTGACTGCAGTGGTGCACCAAGGCGGACCAAGAGCCAATAATTGATTTGGTGAACCAAGAAGGTAAACCAATGTTCCGAGCATGATGTACCAAGCAAGTAAATGTGTACACTGCCTCGCTTGTGTGGGACATGCGCCATTGATTGCTGCGACTGGTTGAACCATGTAACAGGGCCAACTATTTTACCAAAAGGTCGCCTCTGTTGGTAGAAGGCTTCGATCTGACATGGCAGCCCTAAGGATGCATTCCAAACCCGCCTTCTGATGGGCTGCTCTCCTTCAGCTGGCACTTGGGTGATGTTGACCCGTGATATCCTTCATGCAGCAATCCCCACAACCGTTTCATTCCCCACACCCGGATTCAGCAAGTTTATCAGGGCCATGGACTTCACCAAAAGCTCACCTTTGATCCCTTTATTCGGGAATCCTTTCAAAGCCGTTTCATTCCCCACACCAAACATTTTCGGAAGTCCCAACCTACTGACCAGCAAGGCTGAGGGGGTTGGATTCAGCAAAAACTTACCCGAGCCCTGGATTTTGCCAAAAAAAAATCACCTCTGATCCCTTCCGGCTTCGGAAGGTCGGTCACCTGACCTCATATCCCAGGCGGTGGGGCCCGGTTGGATCGGGTGCGATCGGATGCAAGGAACGGGCCAAGGAGGACCAGCGCACCGCCCTGGAGATGCCGCGCGGAAGGGATGGGAGACCGCTCGGAACCGCTTGGGAGAAAACGGTCGGAAGACTGGGGCGGTGGAAAGGGTGCTGGAGAAGTCGGCACAAATTGGATCCACCTTGGGCCACTTCGGTTGAAAAAGGGAAAAGCATGTGTCTTAAAGTGAAACAGGTAGCTTCTTCTGAAATTCGATTTTTCGGCTTTCTTTAGAGGTTGCTCCTGTGAAACAAGCAATTTGGGGACGTATCGGGAACCCTGGCGGAGGAGCAGCTTTCAGGGCACGTTGCTCTCGTGCCATTAACGGCGAGCACAATATGCATTTGTTTGCTGGGCGAGTTTGGTTGAAGACGAGATGATTGAAAAACCTGGAATATGAGTTTTAGGCTAGATTGCACTCAACATATGAGACAAATCACCAGAGGTAGCGTGGCGTGAGACCAAATACAACCTGTGCAGCTTGGACCCTCCAAAGGTCACAAATGTTTGTGGAATGTACATTATTCATGTCCTATTAACACATGTTCACTTTACTGCTTCTCATCCTATTCCGTTCGGGTCGTGTTTTCTGAGTTTCCCATGCGCCACTCATACGTTGAGGGATTGTTTTCTATTGTGTTCTAATTGGCCTCGAGAGCTCTACCGCAATTGTGTCTTGTTCAAAGGATGTTATGGTGAAGGATGCTTTTCTCACTGGATCGGGACGTTGTTTCTACTCGGCAGGCAAGCAAGAAAGCCAAAAAGCAAACATCAGGAAGCCTAAGCCACCAACCGACCCTATCCCCACTCTCAACAGCGTAGATCACCCCAAATCCCATCCTAAACGGAGCCTAGTCAAGCCCCCAAACACACCAAACCCATGTCAAGCCACAAGCCCAAACTCAAGCAATCCGAAACTGAAACGTTCGAGCATCTTTGCCAAGGAAGCTTGAGCAAGAGATGTCCAGACTCTCGGCTGCAGTTCTAGGGGTTGATTCCCCATTCTTTTCAACCATCGTTCTTTTAACAAACCCAGCTGTTTCCCCTGGGTTTTTGACTGTTTCCTGAAAAGAAGGATCCCCGGAAAGAATGGAAATGGAAGGTACCCCTAGGAGCAGTGTGTGTGTGTGTCACTTCGGATGTGGGAGTTGGGACGGGAGGCTTCGAACTCAGACCTCCATGTCAGTTGCTCAAAATCCGTGCACCGGTTTTTTTTGAGACGCGAACTGGCCCCTGCAATCCGAAGTGTCTTTTTTCCGCTGTCCTCTTTGATGCGCTCAGTTCCTGAGCTCATGGACTTTAGTCCCTTGGTAAAAACGGTTGTGAGGGCCGAAATTCAAATTGGATCGCCATGCGCATTTGCCAAGCCCGGTAAAGGGATCAGCCGGAAAGATCCACTTCAGGGGTTCAGTCCAGAGATCGCTCAGCCAAGAGAAGCGCGACTAAGAGAGCGCCCAGTCCATGAGAGTTGTGCCGTGCAGTTACTGGGCGTAAACGCCCAGTAACTTCTATCAAGCTCAAATTCTCGCCATAGCACACCGATGTCAGCCACCATTTTTGCTCTTGACTTGTTGCTTTCCTGCCATTCAATTCGGCCGCTTTCGGAGTGGGATGCACTTGCGACGGGATCTTGTTTTCGATCCGGGCTCAACGGCACAAAATGAATTCATCAATGCGAAGTCCTTGTGTGCAGTACAGGGTGGTCCACCACGAAGCCTCACTCACCCACAAGAAACCTCTTACAAGCTCACTCCACGCATCAATCAATGCAGTTTATTTCTTGGCTGCTATTGGGTTGGATCTTTAGACTTTAACTTTTTGGGAAATCAAGTTGGGTTTTCCACTAACCCCACTTACAAGTTGTTCACTTTTTGCAGGGGTGTCAACAGCAACCAAGACTGCACGCATCAATCCACTCAGTGCATTTAGCCGGTTCCATCACGAGGGTGAGTCTGAGGCTGCCAGCAGGCGCTGCGGCGGAAGGATCAAGACGTGGAGCGCCTGAGGGAGGAGTTGGACGTGGCGAAGAGCCAGGCGATCCAAAGTCAGAAGTGGCAATCCCAGGTGGAGATGCTCAAGAAGAAGCTGGAGGCGGGCCGGATCCCGGATCCCGCTGCGTTCGAGACAGAAAAAAGGCGGGGTTGACCTCTGATAAATTCAAACCCCTGGTTATTCATATATGGGGGTGTTCCTCTCCAAAAGAGAGTTCCTTTGGTACGGGCGGGGATGCTAGTGAAGAAGCTGGAGGACCCGCTTCGGTTGAGAAGCTATAAACGTACTTCCTGAGTTCCCGGACTTTAAGCTTTTTGGGAAGACCATTTTGGTGGTAAGCAACAAGTTTGGCCTTATTTCGGCCCATGAACTCGGGAAGTGAGTAAAGGACCTTATTGAACTTGGATCTTGCTTCGGGAAAGAACCAGGCGAAAAACAGGGGAGCAGTTTCACGAGAGGACGCTGGAGAAAATCAAAAAAACACTCCCGCGTTTGCGGGTGGCGGATGTAAATTCATCGGAAATATTAGAGTGCTTGAAGCACGCCTTGAACGAGTCGAATTGAACAAGCTGGAGGAGGTCAAACAGGAAAGTGTTTCGGGTTGATGGAAGTGAAAAAGAAGCCGCAGGCGCAACCTCTCCAGTCGGAGACAGGCTGTTTGTCCGGGCGCATGGAGTAAGTCCGCTCGAAAAGCATGGGCACCCCAAAGAAGAAGCCCGAAAGGTGTTGGAAATATGCGGGGAACTTGGAGAAGCTTCAATGTGAGTAGGATTGGAGCCACATAGGGTAAAAGTCCCAGTTCGGGTGTTTTGGCGAGAAAGGAAAGGGGGATTTCGCTGGCAAGGAAATTCTAAGGGAAGCATCGAACAAAGAGCTCAGCCATTAGAAATGAGGGTGTTCGTCTTCGTGTTGTTTTGTTCTCGCGGCCAAGGATGCCCAAAGTGCGGAAATGTACCCACGGAGCCCCTCCCAGAGCCGTGGCTCGAGCTGCTTGGGGAGCTTGAAAACTCTGAGGCGAACAGATCACGCCATTTCGCCTGTACTTCCTCTCTTTTGGGGGGGGGGAGTTCAAACGGCCTTCTAAAGCGCATGAGCCACGCCATTGGGAAGCGGTCGCACGAGACTAGCAGGGAGATCTTGGTTTTGGTGGCCTCAACTTGCCTCAAGCCCAAACACGAACAACTTGGTTTCAAGCGGTTTCCCTGTGACTTCCGTTGACTCACCTTAACCAAAAGGGGCCGGAAAACTCCCCCGCGACGCGTGCGCAGGAGTGCCAAGCGTGGAAGAGGGAGAAGGAGGAGCTCCGCAAGCAACTGGACGAGCACCTCCGATCCAAGTTATCTTGACTGCTGTGAGGTTGGGTCTTTAGACCACCAGAGCTTCACAGCCATATGCTCCTATTGGGGTGGATCTTTAGAATGAACTTAACCAAATTAGTGGTCCAGTGCCAGGTGGTGTGACCTCCAAATGGGCGACTCCGAAGAAGAAACTGGGTCAACGGATAAATGGGCGACTCCGAAGCAGAAACTGGGTCAACGCGTCGACTAATACAGGTGCACAAATAGAATGGAAACAGAGGTGGACAGAAATCCCCCATCTCGACCAAGGGTCCCAACACTCCCTGAGTTCGGTGAGTTCCGTGACTCAGACTTTTTCGTCACTTTTTGGTTGACAATTTAGTGGATTCCAACTTTTGTTAGGCCTAGGCTTTTTTTGTTTGTTCCAGGGGCTTTGAATCGGGTGTGCAGGGGCAAAGGCCTTGAAATGGAAGGCCAAGGCCTTGAAAAGTCGGGGGTGCCCACCTCGGGCGAAACGGCACGTATTTTCACTTGAAGGGATTTGGCATGTTGTTGAATGGGTATAACATGCATTTGCGCATGACTCAGCTGCAGGGTCCCGAGGTGTAGCCAAAGCCAGAAAATCTAGCAGATCATAGCCGCAACCTTCCTACTATCTTGATTGGGACGCTCTTTACTTTGAAGCCCCCCCCTTCGTAGATATCTGCTTGAGAAACTGGAGCCGGGATAACAAAACGACGTGCAACATTTTGCCCAGTGAAGTGACTCAGAACACCAGCTGGACCGTGGACAAAGCGTGGACAACCCGTGGAAAGGCCTCGAAAAGGCGCGGAAAAGCTTCTAAAAGGCGTGGAAAGGCCTCAAAAGGCGTGGACGCAATGCCAGATATTTGAGAGCGCAAAGGACAACATGTAGCGATATTGTGGGTGACGCAAAATATGCAGCCAATGTGAAACCATGTTTTTTGGCCAGGAATATGGAGCCAAAGCCCTTGAAAAGGCGTGGACACTTACCATGGATACTTCCGGTTTTACAAAGCAAGGCCTCTTGACAAATCGAGGCCTCTTTCCACAGGCGTCCTTTAGATAGGCCTTTTGAAGCGCAGGGTGTTGACAACAGGGAGACTTTTGGTTTTCCGCAGGCATGCTGTAGATGTTGCTTCGCAGGAAGAAGGCACGGCGCAGATTTCTATAGGCCTCCCATGGTTCCATGGTTTGAATCCACATGGCCGAGCCTGCGCGCTCATGAAAATGTGAGGCTTCGCCTGAGCGGGGACAATCATCAACTTGGACAGCGCTTAAACCATTTAGACGGGGTGAACCATGTTAACATGAGAATCTAGATGTATTTCACGTGTTCGTGTGATTAAGCCACATGTGATTGAACCAATATGAATCTGGAGGGTCCCCATCTAGAGAAAAGCATGGACAAACACCATATATGACCCTTCTACCATGTTTTACCCAAATACCGAACACGCCAAGAAAGACAAGTCTTATGCCGCGCTCACAAAAAACAGAGACTCAACTCATAGAACGTCCAACCCCATTTTTGGCGCGCTGCATCCCCCTTGGATTCTTTGCATACCCCTTTCACTCGCACTTCCCGCAACGCGCAACCTGAGGCAAAACACACTTTTACTGCCTTTTTGCCAGGTAAGACGGACATGACACAGACAACTCACCATGCTTTTTCGTTTTGCGCCGCCTCCCAAAAATGCCAAAAGCGACGTCCCCTCCGAGCGTTCGAAGCGCCTGAGGATCGCCTCGCAGCAGGCGGGGTCCACCATGGAGCATCTCCACGGGCGCCTGGCGCAGCTCCGCGAGGAGGGGTCATTCCATTTCCCATTCCATGGTTGTTGTTGGGAACCATTTTACATTTTTGCTTATTGTGGTTTAGTGGGAAATCCCCACTGAACTGCTAAAATATATTTTGTTGCTCCCCTTCCAACGTCAACCAAGATTCTCTGCTGAGCACCGGCAAGATTAGCACACCCTTCCTGCGCCTGCAGCCCCTCTCGCAGGTGCCCCGCTCACTTGCCGCTCGCAGGATGTGCAGGTGGTGTCGCGGGAACGTGATCAGGCCCAGATGCAGGCGAGTGAGTCGGAGGCGTTGTCTTTTTCCCTTTTTGCCAGGCTTGACCTACCGGTTTCCGAGCCATTTCCCTTCATGGAAATGCAGCCTTCAAGAGTGGCGATCGTTTCAACAGAAACCGCCAGAAACATGCAACTTTTGAAGGCCGAATCCAGCGACCCCTGTGAACCTACCTTTTGCTGGTTTGGTTTTCCACAATTTTCCGTTTCAACCAGTTTACATTGACATGTTTGCAGAGGGTCTAAGTTTGGCCCAGTTCTGCGCTCTTGTCAGCTTGCCCCTTAGCCGCCTTAGCCTCCCTGTTTGGTTGAACATGTGCGTTTCCCACCAGCAACAAAAAGTAAACAGCTTCTTGCAGAGTTTGCCACTTCGGCAAACCGGGCAAAAGAGTTCGGTTCCTTTCAGCGGGTATTCAACCACCCAACCACCACCCTAGTCTTAGCGTGGGAGAAAGGTAACATCGTGCAGTGGAAATCGTGCAGGATGCCTATGGCGCAGCGTCCCCAACTTCCCTTCCCCCCACCCCCCTCCAGCCCCCCCACCCACGGTCTAGGTCACACAAGTAGCGCTCCCTGTGTGGTTCTGGTCCTGTGGTTGGGTTGTAGGGTTGGTTTGGGATTGGTTTAGGGTTGGTTCAAGGTTGTTCCCCCCCCGCGTGTGGTCCTGTGGTTGGGTCGCGGCGCAGGGTTGGTTTAGCATGGGTCTAGGGCGAGTTTCGGGTGGGTTTGGGCTGGTTTTAGGGTTGGTTCAGAGTTGGTTTAGCGTTGATTCTGGGTTTAGGGTTCCTTCTGCTCAAGTTAGGATTGATTCAGGGTTGGTTTGGGGGTGCGGCTTGCGTGGTGGTTTGGGGGAAGAGCGGTAGGGGGAGAGGGTCGGGAACAACCATATTATATAGGTTGCTGCTATCTTGTCCCTTGTCTCAAGTGAGGGTTCCTCCTTACGTTTGCTTTATCATCATTTTTCTGTTTCTCTTCTTCCTCCTCCTCCTCCTCATGATTTTCATCATCATCTTCTTCTTTTTCCATCCCGGTGCTCAGGGTTCCGGTGCTTGATTCCGTGAGGAAAACTTAAACTCAGAGTTTTCTTTCGGGAGATTAACCTGATGTCAACGTATGTTTCCTACAAAGTGACCCAGATCCCCTCCAAAAGGGTTTGCGCACAGAAACACTGAAACGATCATGGTGCTCATTTCTTCATCGGCTTTAAGGTTTGTGAGTGATAGTAAATATAGCCCTGAAAATTGTACGGTGCCTTTTACGTGCGTAGGCAGGCATGATATGTAGGTAGGTATATAGGAGGTAGGTAGGTAGGTAGGTAGGTACGTAGGTAGGTAGGTAGGCAGGCATGATATGTAGGTAGGTATATAGGAGGGAGGTAGGTAGGTAGGTAGGTAGGTAGGTAGGTAGGTGGGTGGGTGGGTGGGTGGGTAGGTAGGTAGGTAGGTAGGTAGGTAGAGGTAGGTTGGTGGTTGTGTTTTTTTGGGGCTTGTAGGTGAATCCTTCCAAAATTGGCAACCACCCACCCTTGGCAGGTGAAGCTCCTCCAAACGGAGCTGGCCAGCCGCGAGGCCGAGGACACCGCGGAGCGCCCGCAGTCCGCGGCTCCGCACCCCGACGCCGACGCGGCGCGACCGGCGGCTCCATCAGCGCTGGCGCGGGAGATGGCGCCGGAGAACGAGGCGCTGAGGGCGGCCAAGGAGAGGCTTCAAGCAGCCCATGGTGCGCCTCCATTTGCGTTTTCGCCCCCTGAAAACAATAAAAATGTATGTCCAGTAGTGATAGATTCCGTTTGAAACCAACAGGGAAAAACATATTCTTAAATTAAATGGAAGTTCGCAGGTGTTTCAAGGTGTCCTTAGGTGTTTAGTTTAATGTAGTCTTCCTTAGGTTTTCTCAGGTTCTCTTGTGTTTTTTTGTTTTAAGGTTTTTGTTGGTGGTTTCCAGAGGTTCCTGAGGCTTGTAAGGTTTTTTTTAGTTGGTCTAGTGGTTGGACTTCTATCTAACCCACTCAAAGTTATATAGACCATTAGCAGGGAAGGTAAACTCCTGGTTCTTGAGAGAATCGGGAACCAAGCCTAACCACAGCTCCAAACCAATGATTGGCTTCAGAGCATTTAAACTTGTTGTTTCCCCTGAAGGGGGAACCTATGACTGGGCATATTTAAAGGAAAAATAATCCCGGGGGACTCAAGCAATTGTGACTTGTTTGGGAAAATCCCACCGTTTCCCGAACAGGGGGGCCCCTTCTTCTCGTTGAAGGACAGTTGCGGCTTGGGTGAGTCGACTCAGGTCAGCCGTGTTGACAGATGATGCCCCAGACCCTCCTGTGTGCCACCCAATTGGCTCAATGATGCAAATGTTTGTGTACGTAATGCATACACATATCTATTTGAAGCCTCGCTGTGTGCCAACATGAATTTAATTATTCTCTGCGCACAGCAGGGTGATTTAGACCTTGTCTCTAGGTCTAACTTGACATGTTTGTTTCTTGGTTATGTTTGCAGGTGCAAACAAGAAACCCCCGCAGAGTCACGAGGGCAGATACTGGTTTGGGCCGAAGTTAGCGAGTTGCTTTTAGAGCGAGGGTTGTATAGAGGGGACATTCAAGGAACGCTTGCAGAAAGACATGGTATCGCTGAAGGCAATACAGCTAGGGTATCACTTTATGTTTCGGACGTTCCGGGCCCTATCAGACATTCTAACCCTAGCAAAACACCTGAGAAGGGGGACCTTGATGCTTCTTGTTAGGTGGGAGCATTCTTCTTGGCCGACCTTCAGGTTCGGGCCAACCCCATTCAATGTGTGGCTCAAAAAATATCAGAATCCAAGAGTCAGGGCTACGCAGTTTTTTGGTTTTTGTTTCCATAGGGGCCATTTTGGGGTTGTACTTTTTCTACATGTTGCTTCTAAGGCTCCTTATAAAGCTCCTTATAAACATCCTTACAAGGCTCCTTAGCAAAATGTACCCATTTCTTCAGCAGCCATTGGTTCGGCGTAGCCTGAGGAGCTCCAGTCTCAGCTGGCCCTCCGGGAACGGGAGCTGCAGGCCGGGCGAGGTGGCGAGGTCTGGACTTTTTGAGGCTACCCTTTCCACCTGGTCTAAGGCTAAGGTTCCAAAAACGCTTGGGGTCCAAGGTTCTTGGGGCTTGGAGCCTTGGGTTTCCTACACTAGGTCCCCCGGTAGTGCCAACTTTTTCCGTTTCTTCTTTGGTTGGGAGGGTTCCAGCTGGCGACCTAGCTGTTCTTGCTGGTGCGATAGGTAGGGAATGAGAGTTATGGAATGACCCCGACGAAAGCTGAAACCAACTAGTGGTTGCCGTGAAATGGAATCCCCGGCCCTTCGAGGCTACCCCTTAGCCAGTTGCAACCAGTGGGTTGCTTCCTTTGTTCAACTCTTTGTTGGTTCCGATTCCTTTAAAGTCAACCAACCAAAGAAAGATACACTTTTTTCCCATTGGCATTGAGTTTTTCAGATTGGTTGCACCGGAGAAAGGAAGACCTGGATCGATTCGGTTACTGCTCGGGCAAGAGATGCAGGGAATGACAGTTATGGAATGACCCCGACAAAAACCAGTGGCTTTTATTCGGGAACCCCCAAGTTCATTCCATGTCTCATTCCCTGCTGAGCACAAGCAAGTTTTCAGATTAGTAAGGGAGAAAGGAAAACAACCTCCATGTTGGGGGGTGTACCCATAGGTCTTAATTCGTAGTGCGTTCAACCAAACACGCGGGACGATGGATGCACTTCCATGTTTGAGGGTGTATTACGATAGTTTTTGTTTTTGGGCGCGCAAATTCAGCATGTGCAGACTCCGCTGGCCAGAAGCGTCGGTTTAGACCAACAGCGTCCGGCAGTGTTTGCTCAGGGCCTTCCTTTTGCTCGGTTATCAAAACCTCACCTCTCGGGCAGTCTAATCCAAACCCCACATCAGTGTCCCCTGGGTTTGTTCATAGGGTCCCCTCCCATTACCTGATAGGTGCATTAGTACAGGACCAACAGTTGGCGTGTTGCAAAGCTTTCTCCTTGTGGCTGACAAAATCGGCCAGAAACTCTTTTTGCCAACTCCCTGACTGGCAGTCTTCGAGCCATGAAGCAGCAGACCCGCTGGGCTCAATTCTGTGTGTATCTTTGTTCGGCATCACCAAAGCGAAACACGTTTGGAAATGCCAAAAAGGGTCTGGTGATTACAATGTGGGAAAAACAGAAAACATGTATGGATCTCCTTCCCAAGTGGTCGGTCCTATCAGCAATCCGCGGCCAGCGATGTCTTGTAAGTCTGTATGGCTATGCCTTTTTTTGGGGGGACCCCCCAAAATGGTGGTGTTCCTCTTAATTTCCTTCTTAACAACAACAAAAGGGGGACTCTCAAAAAAGGTCACTCCCATGTGTATGTGCGTAAGTGCGTAATAGTGTAAGTTTGTATGTGTGCACGGTTCTTCCCTTTGCTTGCTTTGCTTGGATGCTTGTGTGTGTGTGTGTGTGTTTGCGAGTCCCCATTCCAAATGGTTTTTGTACATTCCTTCCCCCATTTGGCCCTGCAGAGTGCCTTCTTGCTTCCCCACACGTACCTGTTGACTCAGCGCGCAGCTTTTTAGCTTCCCTCCATTTGCTTAAGAACATGTTTTATTTTCCCTTGTTGGTCTTAAAGGAATTCATCACTACTGGACATATTTTATTTTTCCTGGGCCTTAGCCACATGGAAGCTTGAGGCGTGCCCGAGCGGGGGATGCGGGGATGCCAGGTGCTTCAGTGGCGGAGCCAGGCGGAGAGTAGTTCCTTGCAGGCCCAGGAGCGAGCGAGTACGAAGCTGCCGGGTTCCGGTTTTACTCAGAAACTAATGAAAGGACATGAAAGGACCCAAGCAACAACTCTTTGGGGGGGCCCCAAAAAAGTAGTTTCCGCCCCCCCCCTCCACCTGGTCAGTTTGCGCGCTACTCTGAGCTTGGGAGGTAAGGTTTGGGCCAAGGGTTGCTTATGGTTTGATCAGTTGGGTGGGTCTATAGGGGTGTGTGTCGTAGGAATCGGACCAGTCTTAAACATGAATTCAATTTGGAAACCAGACGGCGGGGTCTCTGATGTTGAGAAGCACCTGCATCTTTTCTTTGTTCAGTACTGGTGCAAGAGATGCCTGGCCCCCCCCCCGTATGGCTGCTTTGTTTGTTCCAACTCCCGTGGTTGGCCGTAGTTTTGGTGCCCTTTTATACATATACATGTATATCTATATGTATGTATATATGGTACCCCGTACCCCCCCCCCGGATCTACCTTCCTTCAAAATTCAATATATATATATATACATTGAAACCAAAGCCGAGGCGGCCGTGGCGTCACTTTTGTTTGGCCCTCGAAAGTGAGGAGACTCTGATGGCCTCAGCCTTCCACGAGTTGGGCCTCAGGCAGGGAGAGAGTAGCACCCGCAAGCGGTGAGGTGTCAGGTGACTAGCGACCAAAACACGGCCTGGTGGCGTGTGTTAAACGGCAAACTTGGCCAGTCCCAAGTTATTTTCCCCTCAGGGTGGTTGGAAACATCACCTTTTTGGCCCATGAAAGGTGAGTGTTCCTTGGTGGGGGTGGTGGTTTAAGGGAGCCCTGCTGGGAACCACTGGATGTGATTTGCTTTTGGAACCAGGCGCCGTGGAAATGTCAGTTGGCTGTAAGAGTCTCCGAGCATGCACCAAAGCTTCTCCCGAACGCAGCTTGTCAGTTGTTTTGGCGCAAAAAAGGCGATGCCCTTCAGGGTTTTTGGAGAACGATCACTGCGTCAAGATTCAACATTAAGTCCTCCCAAGCCATTTGGTAGCTCTCGTTTATTGATGGAGCTGAATATCTCTCTTTCACTTGGCAAAACCGTGGAATGTAGGTACTTAGACGAGAAAACAAGTGGTTGATGTTTGATGATTTCCCATCCTGGAGAGACTGATTGAAACGGCAAACATCAGTACATCGTTGAGCAAAACGATTCCCCCCTCCCTTTTCAACGATCGGCCTGAGGTAAAACAGACCATCGTTTTCCGGGCCCATATTTTTTTCGCCCCAGGCCAACTGGAAGATTTCGGGTGCGGTTTTGCAAGAAACTGTGCCATTGCTGATCTTGCCCTGCCCCATACTTTGAAGCGCATGTGGCCACACCAGTTCGATTGATTCGAAGTGTGTATCCCTTTGGGGTTAAACAAGCGGAAGCAGACGCCAGAAAGCAGACGAACCCCAACAAAGCCTACCCCGAAAATATATCCGGGGTGTATGGCGGTTTCCAAAAAGAAGGATTCCTCGAAAGACCGGGCTCGCTGTTTGAATGAAGATGATTGTATTGCCAAGTACTCGTACGGAGAACTGTGATGTCTGTTGGCTCGCTCGGAAACCGGCCTTTGCATGCCTTTCCTGCTTCCCTGGCAACTAGATTGATTTGGACGGTTTCTTGATGGTTTCGGAAGATTCGGAAGGCGAGTGGCAGTAAGGCTTCCACGAGTTGTGTGCCTTATGTGTTAACACCAGCAATTGTCATTTCCAAACGGGGGCTGGATGTCACACAAGTAACTCGACTAAGATTGAGAGATCAGTCAACATTTGCTTTCTCCTTCATAATCCTTTTGCTACGCGTTGATTGGTTTCATGTTGGTTTCTGTTCACATACGCCGCCCCATGTCCAGCCAGTATCGCTTGCACTGAAACAAGCTAGAACTTGTACATGCGCATGTTCATGTTCGCATGCCAGATAGATAGTGACATTTCTAGTCTTCAAGCTACCTGCTCAAGCTTGACAGGGGTACGGAATCAAATGACTCCCTGGAGGTATCACCAGCTGCAGGTGCAGCACAGCCAGCTGAAGCGACAATTGGGGAAGGAGGATGCCTGAAGGATCCTTCGCTAGGTTGCCCCCGTTGCCGTGTGCTTCTTGCTTTGGGCAAGGAGGGGAACCTACTGGCCCATGACCTTTTAACAAGGGGCTAGTAGGTTCCCCCCTTGGGCATGAAGCTTCGTGCCCCTTCTCTGGCCCATCGCTGGGCTCTCTGGAGATCTTAGGTCAAGTTGCAGGTCTCGCGTGCTGTCGACAACGATTCGCTGCGCAAGGGTAGGCATTGCAATCCGAAAGAAAACGTGGCGCGCGCCTGCCACTGAATCGCTCTCGCTTTGGGGGGGGGGGGGTCGAAAGTCCCTGCTTGGGAGAAGGCATTAGATTTCCCAACTGCTTTGATAAAACTTCACTTGTTCCTGGACCTTCAACCTCCGGGAAATGTCTGGGTGTTTTAGGAGACCCCTACAATTTACCAAATTCCAGTGGTTTAGCTACAATTTGGGCAAAAACACATACGAATTGCGTCGTTTCCAGTCGTGCATTGGCGATACAAAGTAAATACACCTCGCAGCACTTGCCAACGTGCCAGTGAACCCCATGGGATGCCTTGATCATCAAAACTACGACTTTTTATGATTTGCGGGAGTTTGCGGGTTTTTGCGGGAGATTTGCGGAAATTTGCGCGCGTTTTGCGGTCAACATGGGTACGTTTTTTTCTGCACCGCACAACTTGGACCGCCGTTGTGTGTGTTGACAAACTTTCGGGCTGCTTTATGTCGTTTACCCCTGCAAAGTGCTACGATTTCCCGAATATGCGGAAACTGCGTCTTTTTTTTTCCCAGGAGCCTGGATCTTCGTCCTCCTGAAAAAAAAACGTAGTTTCCGCCTTTGACTGGATATTCGGGAAATCGTAGCACTTTTTGCCGCAAAAACCTGAAACTCCTAAAACTCCTAAAAACCACACTATTGCAATGCTCGCGGCCTTTGACAGGTTAAAAGAAGCTTTGCAGGGTAAACGACTTAAAGCAGCCCGAAAGTTTGTCAACACATGCAACGGCGGTCCAAAGTTGTGCAGTGCAGAAAAACGTACCCATTTTGACCGCAAAACGCCCGCAAATTTCCGCAAATCTCCCGCAAAAACCCGCAAACTCCCGCAAATCAGAAAAAGTCGTAGTTTTGATGATCAAGGCATCCCATGCGGTTCACTGGCACGTTGGCAAGTGCTGCGAGGTGAATTTACTTTGTATGGCCAATGCACGACTGGAAACGACGCAATTCGTATGTGTTTTTGCCCAAATTGTAGCTAAACCACTGGAATTCGGTAAATCGTAGGGGTCTCCTGAAACACCCAGAAATTTCCCGGAGTTTGAAGGTCCAGGAGGACGAAGATCCAGGTTTAGCCCATGTAAAACTAAAAAAAAATGAGGAACCCCGTTCCACATCTGGAATATGAGTTCTGCCACAAGAATTCGAGGATCGTATGGTCAGAGTGCTTCCATGCAAATTGAGTTTCTGAAATGGCTGTGGGTCAAAACCAATGGTAGCATTTTGGGGTAGGTGCAACACCCATGTTAGTCTATTTAGTGGGGATTGGGATGTTTGTTCACTGGGGGTACGGGATTTTGACCCATGGCGAAATGTGACTGATTCAAAATCAGACCAGCTTCAGCCAGGTCCTGGGCACGAGCCAAGGCCTCGCCACGAGCCACAAGTTGTCGCCATGCGCAGGCCGTTCGGGTCAGCTACGGGTCCGGATCTCCAGATCCAAGTCAGCCCCCATCCAAGAGTCAACACAAGCCAGCGCCTCCCCGATATGATTTTTGTAATTATGCATCGGGCTGTCAGGAGTTGGAATTTCGGCCTGCCGGCATACCCCCTCCAGTCGAACCTCACCTCAGCTACCAAAGCTTTTGGATTCCGCTTGAAGCTTCTTATCGCGCGCGAGCGGAGTCGATGTGCCATGGGCAACGCGGAGTCTGGCCCGATTGTGCGGAATGCGGACAAGAGGCGGGTTGTCGCATGAAGGGCTGGGCTAGGGCTGAATGCCTCGTGGACTTGCATTGAATCTAAGTTGGATAGGTTGGATAGGTGCGAAGGCACTTGCAATGGCAAGACCGCAGCCCAGGATGTTTTTTTGTAGGGAAGCCTCGCTTTGGGCTAGGGAGTTACTGGATAATAGCCCCATGCGAATCTATACCCAACCAAAACCAACCTAAACAGACGGGCATTTGAACTTACACGCAAATCCAGACCCCACGAAGAACCCTGGGTCTTCTCACAATTTCACCTGGGAATTGAGACGTGTTGAGTCCGATGGACATCGGCCCACTTTGCCCGGCCGGGTCGCCTCAGGACGTCGCGTCGAGAGCACCGGGCGATCTTCGAGGCGGAGACGGCGTTTTTGTCGCAGTGGATGTTTTGGGCGTTTCGCCCCCAATTGGTCAGGTAACCCTTTTGGGTTCCCATATGGATTTTGGGATTTACATACTTGATCATCACCAAACGGCCTGAAGCAAGCCCATATTCATATAGAGTTTCATGGTTTCAATTTGACCGCGTCGAAGGGACACCGCGCAATGTCTGCGGTTCCGACTCCATGTTTGACATACATTTGTGGAAGTGACCCCATACTTGGTGGATCTTGGTGGTTTGGATTGCTGGTTTGGGGATTTGAACCCCTGGTTCTTGCAGAGGGTAGATGGGACCCGCCCCTCCCAAGCCACCAATTCGAGGGAAGCCGACAGTAGGGAGCCGGGTGTTGAAAGGGTGGCTGTGTGACTTTGAGGGTGGCTCGGGTTTCCCGGAACGCAGCACCTGGGGTCTAAAGACCACAAGTTTGAGAACCCTCGGTGGTCCAAGGTTTACCCACCTGAAAACAGAATGACTTCCATCTAGTTTGGAGGGTCCACAACGGGTACTGGGCAAAGGGCCCAGTCTCAGGGACGTTCGTCAACGTGCATGAAGGAGAGGCCGATTTTGAGAAATCCTATTGGTTGCAAAGTCAACCCGATTCGCGTCCACAATCTCCCCCCCCCCCCATTTTCCGGGTTTCTCTATATCTCTTCTTTGGCGGTTTTCATCATCACGTACTTGGACAACAGGCGAGTTTCCCCAGAAGTGATGTTTCAGGGTGGAAATATGGGTTCTCAAAATCAGGAAACCCCCAAATGGCAGCGGTTTCCCTTTAGTTTTTCGAAAAGCAACCAACAGAAGGTTCCTTCCAAGCAGTGAGTTTTCCTTGGCTTTGAAACCAGAGAACAGCTCCCAGAAAATGTGTCAGAATGGGGCCAGCAAATGATCAGTTTTTGGGGAACCTTCAAGACACGTCCCAAGTAGTACGTGAACTTCGGCTTTCGGAGCCACTCAGGGGTTGTAAGGAGATGTTCTTTAGGCTTCTAATGGATTCATATTTTTTTCAGGGTTCGAACTGGAAGGGTCCTCCGAACCAATCCAGTTCGCATCAGGGGAACCCCCCCCCCCCGTATGATGGACACAAAACGTGTCTATTTTGCAACCTCCTTCATTTGGTATTGGTTTTCAGGTTCTTGCAACACATACTGCACCATCCCCCACCCTTTTCGCACGGATCCCGAAATTCCTTTTCCTTTTGGGTTTGGGCCTTTTTCCTTTTTACATGGCACCCCCTGTCTTTCTAAACGGACCCCGCGTCGCGCGTTCCTCGGTGGGTTGCCCCTGCCACCGCCCCACCTTCCCCCCCGTTCCGCGGCGAGGCGGCGGCCCAGCGCTTCCGCTTGGCGCCCTTCGAGGCCCCGGAGCGCTTCACGGCCGCGCAGAGCCGCGGGGTGCGCGTCTGCGCGCCACGGGCGGCAAGCGGCCGGGGCGGGGGCTTCGGGCGGAACCTTCGGGCGGAGCCTTCGGGCTCCAGCTGAAGGATACAAGGATACAAGAGGTGCATTTTGCCAAGGGATGTTAGGACTTCAACTTTTTGCCGAATAATGGGTTTTCCATTAAACCACTAAAAGTTAAACTTTTAGCAGGGGAGCAGAAAGCAACCGTGCAAGGACATTGCCCGAACTGATCCTTCGATAAGATATGTTTCACCAAGTACCTGATTTGGGCTTGCTTGTGTTTTCCTGGAACAAAATACGACACCCCTTTTGGGGTATCCCTTTTTTTGCGACACACCTAAATGTGTTGAGGGCATACGCGTTGCCTTCGTCAAAAGAGAACCGAGGCCCAGTTCAGATCAAAGGCCATCGGGACAGCGGAGCCCAAACGTTTGGCTAAGCGAATGTCACAGACGATGTCTTAACTTGATCATGCATACTTACATATATATATATATAATTATATATATATATGCGTGTGTATGTGTATGTATGTATACATGCCAATATGTCATATGTATGTGTTTATCATGCGCTTGGACGATTCCACTTGCATATGACATCTTCGCGCAAGAGGGCATAATATGCAACACACATATACATATATATATATATATAAGCGTGCTATGCTTGTGCCGTAAAAGCATGAATTGTCTCAGAACGGGTTCGGACAGCTGCTGTTAGTGTGGGTGTTGTTTGCGAAGGAAGGCAAGTTATAAGAACAGTTAAGAGCACTGTTTTTGCTTGTCCCCCTCTTGTTGGAACAGACAGAAGCCCCTCAGGTCTTGAACGCATACAAGTTTCTATTGGGAGCGAAGCACGCAACTGACGCCAGCAGCAGACGTGGAAGTGCAGAGGCCCCTTTTCCATCAAAAGTACTTCCCTGCAAATGAATTTCGATCCCAAAAAGAGAGAGGCGCCCCAAAGGGAGATTCCTCTAAACATGGCCAGGTTTCAGCTTCCATGATCGTTCGAAGGAGGGTTCCATGCCTACAAAAGAGGTGAGGGGTCGCTTTAGCGCTGAGGGAAGCGTGTTAAAAGCTGCAAGACGTTTTCCATCGCCCCTTGAAGGCTACAGTTGGGTCATGTTGAAGAATTGATTTACCAGTTAGATTTAAAGGATCTTCTTGGACAGCTTGTAGTTTTTGGACGTATCCTTTGAGGAGCGCTGTTTTGTAGAATTGCACTGTTATTTACTTATTCATGCACGCTTGGTCATGCACGTGCTTCTCCTCGGGATGGTGGTATACCAAGTAGAAAAGTCTAGAAGGAAGCTTGAAATAGCTCCAATGTTGTTTCTGTTAACCAGTCGCAGCAAGCCTCGGCTTGGAGTTGTTGTCCTAGCTCGCCTTTGCCAATGTCCAATGACCCTTCTGCAAAGTGCGCCTTGTTGAGCAAGCAGTTCAACCTGAGCTGGGGTACCAGCCTGGCTGCCAAGAGCTACCAGCAAAGCCAACCACACAACCCATGTTTCTAAGAAAGGGCGCCCCCCCCCCCCCCCACAAAAAAACAACAACACCAATTAAGGAGCCGATTTTTAAAGCGTGGCTTCCCCCGCCCATGGCTACAAAGATATTATCCCAATTGCCCATCCCCCTGAGGTCCGCAAGCGGCCGATTTTCAGTCATGAGCTCGAGCAAGGCGCGTTGCGAGCTGCGGGGAACCAGCTAGGTCCCCCAGCCAGGTGCCAACTTTTACCGTTTCTTTTTTTGGGGAGGGTTCCCCTACTAAAATAGACATAATAGACTACAGAAAAAAGAAACGGTACCCTTATTCTAACCTCTCTTCTGGAGGACCTAGTCATGTCCAGCGTAAAAAGAAGCGCTGACGTACGCCTTCGATGCGGTTTTTCCAAAGGCTGGTCTTGCGACGAACGGGACAGGAGCAAAAAATCCCGAACGGGGCAACTGTCAGCTTGGCAAGAAAGGCAAGCAACTGCAGACATAGACCACCCAGAACTTGCTTCGGAGTTCAGGACAGCGGCTTTCCTGACCAACGCGTGGTGTGATTGTGGCGCCGCGTGGTGCAAATGCCCAACTGCGCATTCCGCGTGGTGCAAATGTCAATAAAGCATTTTGAAGTGATGGGTCCAGTTTCTAGACACGGAGGTTCTCAACATGGTTTCAAGCGCCGAATGGTTCCAGCAACGTGTTGCTCGGTTTTGCCACAGGGCTCAAGCTCCCCGATGCTTTCAGGCAGTCCACTCTTCCGAAGCATCCCTCGTTGAATTTTTAGTCAGAAGGTTCCAGTCTCCCAACTGGGCAATCCCCAAAAACATGTCTTTGTGCAGTTCTGCACACTTTTGGTATAGGAAGAAATTAACAATGTTTCAACTAAAACGGATACCCCTCGAGATTATTCAGTGTCCAAAGTCTGGTTACTTTAAATAGCTTTCAAAAATACGCCCTAAATTGCGTCCAACATCTGGTGGAAATGCGAATTTGCTCCTGTAAGCAAAAGGTTGTTGCACCAAGCGAAGGAAGTTCGTCATTCATTTCTAGGCTTCTGGGCAGGAGGGATGGACTCTGGACAATTTTGTTGAATTTGAATTCGATCATCCCGAAAGAAGAAGTCCTTGCCAGCCAAAACAAAGCATTCCCTCCCCCAAATACCTTTCTTAAGATACCATGGCATTCATGTTTTCTCCGGTTCATCCTGTGCTCTTTGGATACATCTACCCGTTTTAACTAGGAATGGGCTCCAAGCGTTTTGGCACCTCCGATTGAATCCAGGCGAGTTCGATGCGGTGACATGCCTCGAGCCGGGCCGCATTGTGGTGCACGATGCACGCATGCACCCAGACATGGTCAAGCTGTCGGGAGGCCCAGCACCTCCGTGCGTCCCAACCCGTTGAACCGACCATTCAGAGGGGTGAACATTGGGAACGTCGCTTTTATGGATCCAGTTGACACCTGGTTGTAAAGGTGCCCTAAGAAGCGTGCGAAGTGCGTCTAGGGCGCGTCCATTCCCTCAGGAAGCAGGTTGCTGCTGGGCAGCTTTGCTATGATCCGTCGTTAGGATTTGTGTTTAATTTGTTTGCGCTTGATTAGCGTTTTAGATTGGTGTGTAACTCAAAGGGTGCTGGGGAGTTGTGATGGAGCCCCAAATTGGGTGGTTCGGGATTGGTGGTTGCATGTCATGTGGCCTTCAAACTGTGTTTTGGATTGGTTGCGTTGCATTGAAGAACCCAGGGTTGCTAAACAGGCAGTCTGGATTCCCAGTTTGATCTCAGCTAACCCTCAAACCTTACTGTCGGAACCTTACCGTTGTGGGTCTTTTGAGAACCACCTCGAACAAACGCCTCAGAGTTTCCGCTTTCGCAATATTTCAGCCTTGCGAACTCACGCTTGTCATTCGCCCCTGCTGGGGGCGCAGTCCTTATGGGAAAGTTTTGGGGGATCGCCGAGTTGTCAAGGATTGAGCGTTCAGGGCCTGCAAATCTTACGGCAGTTTGGCTTGAAACCCTGCTTGCCTAGGATCGAACCATTTTCTGTAGGACTCCAGGACGCTCATCTTCAGGGTTCGACCTGAGATGTTTCAAGCACCCGCCATTTGTGGTGTTGATTGGTGTTTTTGGGGTGGGTTGGAGGGTGTCCATTTGGTTTCAAGGGGAGCTGGGGAATGTACAATCCACAAGCCGCCTTCAATCACCAACTTTGGGTACCCCTTGATTGGTGGTTTGGAGCCAGTTTTGGGCTGGACAAATCCTGAATCATGTTGAGACCTTCCCCCCCAAACCTTCAACCGGAGGAGTTCTTGGGCAGTCCCATGTGAATCTTGTGGGGCGACTTACCGGGCCTTCAACCCATAGCTGCGTTTTTCAGTTTTGGCCCCCTTTGTCTCCTTCATTTCCTTCAGGCCGTGCAAACAAGTTGCAAACATGGCCAGTTGCGAACCCGCCTGTTTTTTCGGGTTCAGCCACACGCTGTCTTGCGTTTATGGAAGAAGGGTACACATTTGGGATGTAGGCGTACCTGCCTTAGGGGTGCCGTTGGGAGGCTTTGTCATCCTTTTTGCCTTCGTGCACCTACAGGAAGTAGTGCCATCCAAACCCTCTACCAGGGCCATTGCCTGCAACTGGGTCGGAGTAATCTGGAGGACCATGCTAGTCAGCGGCATCCACACAATGGATCACATGCAGGCTTAAATGGATCTTTAGGTTCCCTGCGAGGGTCAACCAATGTGGGTGTGTGTGTGTGTGTGTGTGTTTTTGACTGTACCCTTGTTTGGCGGTTTTCATTGGAAACCAAAAGGACGTCCACCATGTTGCTTTTTGTCCTTTGAGAAAAGGCGCGTCCATATTCTTCTTTGCTCGCTGACTCTGTTGGTGCGCCCTATCGCCAGCTCCTAAAAAATGGAATGGGGGCAGGGTGATTTCTGGAGTTTCATTTGTGGTTCCATTTCCCTTTTATGGGGAAGACTAGATCAATCGAATTGGATCCCCTACAAAAGGTCACATCCAGATTTTTCTTTGCCCACGGACTTTGGTGTGTCCTATCCCCCCCCTATCCCCACCCCCTTAAAGATGGAATTGGGGAGGGGTGAATTGTGGAGATCTCCTTTCCCCCCCCTTCCCTGCTCAGGGGCGATGTGTGCTTCAGCTTCACGACCACCAAACAACCATAGGATTCTTGGTGTGTCATGTCCCGCTTGGGGACTCGGCGATCATAGGATTCTTTTCTTAGTTGGCGTGTCCGCCTTACAAATGGAATGGGGGTGAGGAGCGATTTCTGGAGATCTCCATTTGTGGTGAGCCACTTTCCCTTTTACGGGGAAGACTAGCTAAATAGTCTTGGATCCCCTAAAAATATCCTAACCATAGGGATTTTTGTGGTGAGCCATGTTCCCTCTAGCCCTCAAACATGGGGCTTTGGGTGACTAGATTTGAACTAGGGACCCGACCCCCCTTCCCCTTGTGGTAGATGTGTGCTTCAGGTTCACAGCCGCACAGCCCGAGGATTCTGCGTGTGTCATGCCATTTTTGGGGAGCTGCAGGTTCATGAACCACCACGACTTCGGCTTTGACGAGGCCTTCGGCGAGCAGATGGGCAACTTCGAGGTCTACCAGGGCACGGCGCGCCAGATCGTGCAGAACGCCTTGGAGGGCAAAAGCGGCACGGTGATGATGCCCCTCGAACCAAAAGGGGTGGGGGTCTGCCGTTGATGGGTGCGCTTCAAAAGAGGGGAGCTAGGAAATAACGTGTGGTTTCCTGTTGGTTTCCCTTTGTATCCAGGATGAGGTGTTTTGCTTGTTTTACTAGGGCTGCGTCTTTAGCTAAGGCTGGTGCCCGCTGACTGGTTGGTTGGCTGGTTGGCTGGTTGATTGGTTGATTGGTTGATTGGTTGGTTGGTTAGTGGTTGGCGGTTGGTTGCTGCCAATTGCGAATTACTCGGGATGGTTTGAGGTGAGTTTTAGGCAGCCGAGCCAAATGAAGCCCAACCAACCCAAGACGCGCCCTCACTAAGATCTCAGGCAGCCTGAAACTCTCCCTATCCCGAGCAACTCTCTGCCAATCCAGTCCAATGGGCAACCTCAGCAGAGTGAGGATGCGGCCATCCAACCAACTCAACAGGTTTCCACGGGGCAGCCTGGCCGACCAGACCTGGTCCAGGTGATGCAATCTCGCTAGGCCTAAGAACAACCAGCGGTAGCACCAGCCAGGTGTGCTTAACAACACTCCTACCCTCAAACTGACCCACCCTCAAACACCACGTGCCCAAGTTCAGAAGCACAGATCTGTCAAGCAATATGGGCAAACTATGGTGAGTTTGCGTCAAGCAGGGCTCCCTATAGTTCCTCTCTTGGTAGTTTTGGCACATCACCTTTTGTGCATGTTGTTCAGGTGAGGTTGCTTTGAGGGAGAGTGTTGAGAGCCTTTGTTCGCTTGACATAGGGGTGTGCCCGCCTGTTTGGAAATATCGCATTGGTGTATATATATATATATATTTAGTTATTTGCATACGTCTGTGTTTCTATATATGCGTATATCTGCATATGCAGGTATACATCTGCACATTTTGTTGTATGTATATATGTATATATGTCTATGTACCTATGTGAACTTTAGCTTTCGTCGTGACAGGGTCTCTATAACATAATCTTGCAAAGAGGGGTTGCTCTATGATTAAAGTCTGGTGACTAGATTTGTGCAAAATGGGCTGCGAGAGGACCTTGGGCTCGACTTGTGGATGTGCGTCGAAATTGATAAAGGGAATCCACATTCATTGAACACTCACATGGAGATATTCACATATATTTATATATATATATATCTACATACATACATGGGTGTAGATAGGCGCACGAATTAGCTGGCACTGTGCTAAATGAGTGGGCATCCTCTTTCGCATGCGTTTGCCATTTGGATAGCCCAGCAGCGAGCTAAGGTATGGGCAAACCGGCAGCGGCAAGACCTATACCATGCGAAGCCTGATTGCATAGAGCTTTCAGCAGTCGACTTTGAAGCTTTGGGGATCCGAATTTGCATTGGGCACCCTTTGGATCATGAATCTGGGGAGAAAAGCAGCAGGGTTCCTGACAGGATTCTTTTTGGCCAAAGTAGAAAACCAGCTTTAGCAGCTGTTGGGAAGGGTTCTACATGAACCGCGTGATGCACTATCCTTTTAGGGGACCCTGAAAAGGTTCCATTGGCATCGTCGTCCGCAGGCTCCATCTATGAGCAGGCGGCGGATGAGATTTTTCAGAGCCCCCGCAGTGTCACGGCTCCTCGCACGCATGTCGCAGTCTTTGGGCTTCAAGCAGGTGGATTCATTTTCTGGTCTTTGTGGCCTTCAACTTCGCCATTTGGAACCTTGGAGCCACAGATGGTATGTTCCCCTTGGTTGCAGTCATGGTCGTTGGCAGAATCCCGTATGGGGAAGCGGAGACATGCTTTTCTGGGGCGGTTCCGATTTCAATTGCACTTTGGCAACCCATGCAAAGTCATTGAATTTCAACCTGCAGCTTTGCCAGACAGGAATCGAGATTGCTTCTGTGTGCCCAATGACCCCAGTGAAATTTATCCAAGACATAAACCGGGTCCCTTTTGACCGGGCTCTGTTTTGATACGCCGGAATCTTCTTGGCCATGGCGGGGGGGGGGGGTCCTTTAAGCCAGCCAGACTCATATAGATCAAAGGCTTTTGGGCTTCACCTTGCGATACCACCGGGCAACCTCACCGAGAGATGGGCGCAGATGATGTTCAAAACTACCAGAGAATTGTAGTTGCACCCCTGCACAGGCCCGGGAGTGACTTTGGGAAGAAAGTCAAGGCCCTGCATGCCAGCGACGTTGAACTTCACTTTTGGGATGGGGTGTCAAGGTCGGCGGCTTCTTTCCCGGTGAGCTGTTCTGTTGTCGAAAGTCCGCCCTTTGATGTTTTTCTGTTGGTTCCCCGCCAGTTTGTACCACTCTCCAAACCAGGTAATCACCAACAACAGGATCTCCCCAGTTCGCACCAATCCAAAGCACCAACTAGAGGATTGACCTGGGTGAGTTTGGACTTCGAGGTCAGCTTCATCGAGCTTTTCGGGGAGAGCTGCTTCGACATGTTGAACCAGGGGGTGCCCTGCCAGCTGACCACCGCGCAGGATGGCATCTTGGATTCCATCGGCCTCCAGTCGATTTTTCATGTGGCCTGTCCTTTCTTACCTGCATCTCTTGAAATTTAATAATTCCCACTCCAAAAAGAAAAAAGTACTTTCTTCCATGCTGGAGTGATAATTTTCACTCCGTGTTAAAATGCCCGTTCGGGTAGTTCCGACTGCTCAGGCATCCGTTCGGAACCCGTTCGAAACCCGTTCGAAACCCGTTCGAAACCCGTTCGAACCCGTTCGAACCCGTTCGAACCCGTTCGTACCCGTTCGGACCCGTTCGGACCCATTCGGAGGTACGTAAAAAATACGCCAACATTACGCAATAAGCCTTTGATAGTTTATGTGCAGTGCTGATTTATGAACACTTCGATGGTAGTGAAAATATCCGTTCAAGAGTAAAAATACCCGTTCGAAAGTGGAAATACCCGTGTCCTCAGGCCAAAAAGTACTTTTTCAATTTTGGAGTAGAAAATCTTAACTTCCAGGAGATCCAGGTACGGTTGGACCCCTCCAAAAATTTAATTATCGGTTTCCCTTCCGTTTAATTAAGACCCACCAAAAGCGGGTACCCTCAAAAAAGACACCCATTTGACCTCATTTGTTTAAAAGTGCTTGTACCCGCACAAAAGGCTTGATAGAAAAGGAAGCCACATGGACAACCACACCAATCTTGGAGGGGTTCCCCCAATAAAACGATATATATTTGTACCTTATGTTTTTTTTGTTTGTGGACGCCTTGGTTGGAGACCACAGACCCATGTCGAACATACGGAACACCTGCCAAACGAAGCACAGTCCCATTTGTGGCCAATACCTTTGGTGCTCGTCTTCATTGGGACATGTAGCTGCACGTGATTCGCCGCTCTTGTGAAGTCGACCCAAAGGGCCCGTAGGTCTGGCAGACACACAGATCAGTCGTCTCTCGATTTGTTCAGGGCCTAAAATTTGGAGCCAAGGGAGCGGGACATAGAAGAACATATGTTAGATGCTGCATTGGAACCTCTACCCCCCTGAGATTTCCTCAACCTCTACCCCCCTGAAGCTTCTTTAACTCGGGATGTTTTTCGCTACAATGGTTGGCTTCCTTTGCCGAAGGCCAAACGAGGGGGTTCAAAGGGGAGTCTCTGTGGAGCATCCGGATCAAGGCTCCGTGCACCCCTTCCCCTGCGTGGAAGTCGAGGCGAGGGCGCGTGAGCGCTCGCCGGTTCCCGGTTCTGCCTGGCTTAGGCAGAGACATGCCTATTTGAACCAGCACCATCTTCATAGAACCACGAGTTACCCTCCCACCAAGTAACATGGAAGTGCACAAACCCCATTTCCAAGAGGAACGTTGTCTTTCTACAGGGGTCTATGCGCTTCCATGTTACTCGGTGAAAGGGTAATGGGTTTTACGCGCTGCTCATTTGGGCTTGGTTCAACATAGGCGAGCCACCCAAATGGTTGGTTTCCTCCTAGTTCCCCTTTATTGAACCAGTACCATTTAGTGGAGCCAAGAGTCAATGGGTTTTGGGCGCCTAGCATAGGCGACCCACCCAAGTGGCAACGGTGTCCTTCTAATTTCCCTTTACTAGACCAAGCCCAACATGGTAGCCTCAACCATGGCACCTAGTCGCCTCCACCAAAAAAGATCCAGCAACGACCTAAGAGCATGGCAAAGGGATCACTTCTCTGAAATTGGCCCATGGCGGTCAAATCACGAAGAAACAAAGGCCGGCGTTTGCTGTTTACTCCCTTTGGCTACATGACGTTGTCATATGGGCGTGGCTCAAAACTACTGGCTTAGGGTTACGGAGGTTTTAGTCTTCATTTGCCATGCCAATTTAGTACATGCTTTGGAGCAGATCATTTGTGCGGGTGGTTGTTTCCGACGAGCTGGGCAAACTCCCTATCTCCTGGCAAGACTACTGTGCTCAAAGGCCCCCCTCACATACTTCCCGGGCCAACGATCCCCCAGAATTCATGATTCTACTTGGTTCCCCTTTTGAAGCAACCTGAAAGAAGCGGACACAGAAACGGCCCCATATATGGCAGGTGCAGACCCCATCGGAGCTCCTGGCGTTGATCGACTTGGCAGGCGAAACCGTTCTTTCATGTTTTCGGGCAGGGGACTGCGCATATATATATATATTCTTGTTTGGGCCAGGGGGCTTGAAAGCCTATTTACTTGGTGGTTCCCAGCCATCCGGATCTGTTGTTTCTTTTGGTGTTTTTTCGTTGGTTTGGTGCCGGGGGGTCCATTTGAACCACGAAACATGTTCAAGTTTTAGCAGGGGAGCTGAGAGCAGCCCAGTCCATTTGCGGGTCAACAGGGGCCCGATGGGAGGGGAGGGGGAGACGAGCTTCAGCGTAGAAAGAGAAATTGGGGAAGGCACCGGACCGCCTGGACTGGCACTAGGTCTCCCAACAGTTTTTTTTGGGGAGGGTTCCCCATATTAAAAATGACTACTGAAAAAAGGGGCACCCTTATTCTCCTCTCTACTGGAGGACCTAGGGCGCCAGGTTTCCCCTTCAGGCCGGATACCTGGCATGTACCCACTTCCTCCCCATAGGTGTTTTGCCGGGCCAAGGACATGCAAGAGGCATTGTGTTCCCACAGTCCCTTTGCAGTTGCCGCTCTTGGCAATTTTTGGGCAGGGGGGGTGCGACTTGGCCTCGCAGCAGAAACGCCCGCGGAGTTTCCTCGGTTGCTAAGTTGACATGCTGGCTGTTGGATTCGTTGCGAGCCGCATGGCGCTGCAGGTGTGTTCTCCCAGGTCTCCTGCAAACCTAAGGCTTATGAAACAGGATCATTTTGGGAGTGCAGGTGTAGACTACAGATGACATTGAATTATTGCTCGACCCAGCGGATCCCAGTCAAGCCCATCTAGTAGGTCACAAGCTATTTTCCTTCTGGGTTTTAAAGGGTGGCACGCCCTTGGTCACTTGCCGCCCTTGGTCACTTGCACAGGTAAATGGGTCCACTGGGCTGCTTTTACCGTCTGCCGTCACGACATGGCAAGACCTTTGTTTACCAACACAGGCAAATGGATCCACTGGGCCACGGCCGTTTCGCCCGGAGGCAGGTTGCGCGCCACCGCTGCCACTGGGGTGCACGACCAGTCCTCGCGGTCCCACGCGCGCCGCGCTCGGAGAAAGCTGGGTGAAGGTGAGCGGGGCGCAGCTCCCAACCAGGCATTGTTTTCATTTAAGTTGGGCTGGAATCCATGAACTCAGGTGCGTCGGTGTATTTCTTAGTCATTCATTAGCTATGGCTTTATTCTGCTTTCCCCAGCCGAAGGTCCATAACATTCTACAACAGCCACTGGTTCTTGACATACACTCAGCCTCGACACAGCCTGACATATTCACCTGGGTTGCAGTGTAGTGTAGTGGAGTGGATGGCTCCACTCCTTGAACACCAGTTGATTAGGGTCTCAAATCTGGAATTCTTTGTGTGATCCAGGTCGCTTTTGTCCCTGTTGAATACCCTCCCTCCCACAAACATAGCAACTGTGGGAGGGTACCTGGAAGATCAATTTCACCCCTTTCGGAGGGACACTTTTTGTCAGGCGCCATGTTGAGAGGGAGGGGGGGGAGGTAACTCCCCCCTTTTTTCGCCCTTTGATTTTTCACCTTCAAAGGCCGAACACCGAAAACTCTCGGCCCCAGCGGGTTGCTGGCTGGGGCCTTTGGCCGGCCCCAGCGGCTGGGCCCGGTCCAGAGGTTGTGCCGCGTCTTCGTGGACTCCGATGGGGAGGAAGGCTCCCTGACGCTGGTGGACCTGGCAGGCTCCGAGCACCGCATCGCCCCTATGGCTATGGCTTCGCGGGCTTGGGGGGGGGGGAAGCGGACGGATCTGATGGGTAGGGTTCTTGCTCTGGTGGACTTAGTCAAATTTAAGCTTAAGAAGGGGACCCCCACATAGAAAGTTGACTGATGGCCCCCATGGCCGGACGTGTTGGGGTGTCAGTGCTGGATGGCTGGATGGAGGGTGGATGGAGGGAGTCGACTTTGGGAATGTGTCAGGGATTGGGTCCCAACATGGTAGGGGTTTTGTCAAGCTTTTTCAGTGAGAGAGACAGAGAGAGAGATCAAACCAAGTTTAAAACGGGCACCCCTCAAAACACAGCCCCATTTTGCGACCTGCTTCTCGGTGTTGTGATGTATGGCTTGAACATTTCTCTAAGTGGTAAAGGGGTTTGGGAGATATTGGACGGATTCCATGGGAACCCAGTCTATGGGGGCTGTTTGGTGGCCCGAGTTTGTGTGTGCATGCTGGGACAGAGCCAAGGACAATGCGGAGCACAACGCTGAGAGAAGGACTGGAATTCGTGCGTGGCGGTTCAAGAACGTCGCCCCCTTTTTTCTGTAGCTCACTTTCATTTGGCCTGGCTAAAAGATTATGTTTGACAGAGCCCTTTTGGAGTGTACTCAACAGCCGTGGGAAACCTTGATGGGTGGAAGTTCTTGAAGTCGAATTACACAAGTGCCTCCTTATTTGCTGCTCACCTGGGAATGTGAATAGTTCTTCAGACCCACTTTTCAGTCGTTATCCAACAATTGTGGCAGACACGGGAATTCACGCAAAGGAGTTTGGTCTTCCCGCACCTTCATGGGTATCGGTTTATAGTATGAAGTACAAGTTGGCCTGTTTAAGGAACGTCCGGGTGTTCAATTGTGGGTGCCGGAGCACCCAAACTCGTACTTGCTGTTTGTTTGATATATGATGGCTTCTTTTGGAAGGCAAAGGGAAAACTCCGAGTTAATTGTTTCTTGCTGGTGCTCAGCAGGGAATGAGAATTGGAATGCCCCCTATAAACCATCCATCCTATGGTTTCCATTTTTGGGGATTCCCCAAAACCGGTTCATTCCAAAAACACCCCGTCTCGGAAGGTCATGCCCTACCTCTCGCACCAGCAAGTTTACCAGGGCTTTTCGGGATTTTACCAAAAGGTCACATATGATCTTCTAGGATTTCGGTTTGGAGGCTTGCAACATTCATGGGGGCTGGAAGGGGAGGGAGGAAAGGGGGAGGGAGCCCAGGGAGCCCCTCCCCTTTGCCCCCAGCCCCCATGAACCATTTGTTTTTAGGGGCGGCGGGGTCGACCCATGGCCCCCCCCCCCTTTCCCCGGTGCACGCACTGAGCCCGAGCGCGGGGCGCGAGGAAGGAGGGCGCCAAGATTAACGCCTCCCTGGCGGCGCTTAAGGAGTGCATCCGGGCGCCTCGGATCGGAGGGCGCCTTCGAGTCGGATCGATCGGGGTACCCCCAGAATCACATGGAAGCTCCCACCTCTTTGGAAGACTTGGTTCAATTTACTGAAGCTCCCTTCTGGGAGCTTCCATGTTAGCTGGGAGCGTACCTTCCAGTTCCAGTCTTTTTCCAGGCATCCTGGTTTCTTAAAAAAAAGCACCCGAAAGCCTGGCGAAACGGATCTGTTTTTTTTTTTGATATAAGAACGATGGACAAGGAATCAACCCCTAGAATGGTGCCTCTCGGTTTGAAGGGAACGGTGTGTTCTTTTCTAGGTCCCGCAGCTAGGTGCCAACTGTTACCCTTTTTTTTGGGGTTGGGAGGGTTTCCCTACTAAAATACACTACAGAAAGAAGGGCACCCAGATTCTATCCTCTTTACTAGAGGACCCAGTCTTGGTGCCTCGGCCAGTTCCCAGTAAAAAGACACCCAGTTCTGTTCCATTTGCCGGCAATACCGGAGGGCTTGCCACTTAATGAACAAAGCCAACAGGAAATAGGGGAGGGGCAAGCCGCCCAAATGCGACGCCCCACGTTTTTTTTGGTTGCTTTTTTTCTTTTTCGGGCACCCGCAAGCCCCCGAGAAAAACAAACAAAACAAACAAAAAGCACGGGAAGTCGCGCGCGCCAAGCCCCATCTTTTGCGGCTCAGGCGCGGGCCAGCGGCGCCAAGTTCATCGCCTTCCGGCAGAACCGGCTCACGCAGCTGCTGCGGGGCTGCTTCCTGCCAGGCGCAAAGCGGGCTTGGCCGTGGTGGTCAAAACCGTTTTGGGATCCCATTTTGGTTGGTAGGTGAATGCTTCACCCGTCTTAGGACCTATTTTTGTGGGTATTGGAAAACCGTTTTGGGATCCCATGTTGGTTGGTAGGTGACTTCACCACCCATTTTAGAACCCATTTTAGTGGTTGGATTGGGATGTTCACTGCAATTACAATTTGGGTTTTGACCTATAGCCGCATCATAAAGCCAGGGACACTTTTGAAGTCCATCTATGTTCGACCCGGGAAAAAGAAGACACACCAAGTTTCCTGGTGCGATAGGTGCGGAAATGTCGAACGTGATATCTATGCTCAACAGGACACCTAGTTATATAGAGGTTAGTGGACTTTAATCATTTCTTTGATCCAGATCCGAAGCTCAAGTCAGCCCAGTGGATCCGGATCAAGCCCAGTGGCTTTTGGTTTTCAAAGGTTTGCAAGCCCTTGGTTACCTACAAAACCGGGTAGTTCCCTTGGTTACCTACAAAAGCTGGAAAATGGATCCCACCGGGTAAGAGGCACACTCCCTCTTCAGCCAAGGAGAGATTGCTTTGGCGACCCTTTGCTATTTGCCTTGTGGTGTTTAACGGGTGGCAAGCCCCCTGGTTACGTGCTATAGAGGTAGATGAATCTAGTGGAGTAGGTTGGGGACGTAGGTTGGGATTTCTACACTCACCAAATCGACCGGATCTGACCTTTTAGTTTCAGGTCCCAACTTTTTTTCGGGTTCCATGTTAGTTTGCAGGCGAGCAGAACAGAATTGGGACAGCCCACTTTAGCGGGCTAGCACCATGGGTTTAACTGGGACGGGGGTTGGGGGACAAATGATAGGAATGGTTGTCGGGTTGAGCATCCAAGAAGTGCATTCCAAGTTTGAGTTGTGGTTTGGAAACAAATATCCACGCCCTTGTAAACAAAGAGTTTCCTCTATAGGAAAGCAACAATTGCCGACTTAAAGGGACAACCACACAACAAAAAACAATTGTGTGAGAGGGATGTTGCCCTCCTCCCACCCTCCTTTCTTGGTGCTCACATCCAGCCACTTCTTGTAGCGAGCCACTCCTAACAAAAAGCCACTCCTAACCAAAACAAATAAAGCGTCGCGACCCTTATTTCCAGTTATTGAAAGTAGATACAAGTAAACAGGCTCTTCGGCAGGACGTTTGGCACCTGAGCAACAGCTCACACCAGTGGACTTGCAACATGTCAGGAATCGAGCAAGACAAGTACCGCAGGTTGGCCCAAGTGTGCAGCCAACATGTGGCCGCTCACAGAAGAAGCTATAAAACATATTCCTTCATATTGGGTTTTGAGCTAGGCCCCCCAGTAGTGCAAGCTTTACCCCTTTTTTGTGGAGGGTTCCCCTACTAAAATAGACTACTGAAAAAAGGGTACCCTTATTCTAACCTCTCTACCGGAGGACCTGGTTGAGCTTCAATCGGGAACTCTTGAACCATGGCTGGGTGACAAGCCGTCTCCTTGCAGATGTACACGCTCCCAAAGCAAAATGGAATGCAACCCTGGCTTCATAAACATCAGCTAAGCTCCGTTTGTGTTTGTTCAGGGCATTCGGGCCAGAGGAAAGACAAACAAAAAGCAAGGGCTTGCACAAAGCGTGCCCAATAAATGGCCACGCTGGATTTGTTGTGACTCTTGACACATAGCATGGCTCGAGATTTTCCTTTTGTGTCATGACCACACAATTTGACTCGAGTTCTTCCTTTTGGCTTCCGGAAGAGGTGCCCTCACCCCCAAAGTGGACTGCCCCCCCGGCCCCGGCCACGGCCATGCTGTTCTTCAGCCTGCCGGATTGGGGATGCCAAAAATGCGCCAGCCCCTGGACGATGCGCCTCGGAGTGAAAACGAAAGAAAGAAGATGCAAGCGTGGCAAGCGTAGGTCCCCTAGCGAACGGTGCCGTTTCTTTTACCCTTTCTTTTTTGGGGGAGATTTCGTTCCCCTACTAAAATAGACTACAGAATAAAGGGTAATTACCCTTATTCTAACCTCTTTACTGGAAGACCTAGGTGGTGTTTCTTAAAGTAGGGCTCCTCCATAATGGTTGGCATCCGTTTTGGTTTCCCTGCAAACTGCCAAAAAGACAAGGGTCCCAATGTTCAGGAAAAACATGTTCTGTAAATGACGGGTACTTGGGCTCGCTAACGGGGAGCCCAAACATTGAAATGGAAATCGTTCATGTTGAGAAGCCCTCTCATTTTTACTGGCAGCATTGTAGCATATCGCAAAATCGCAACACTTTAATGCAGCTGCATGAGAGCGCTGAAGCCTCTCTCTGATTTCGTGGATTCACTTGCAGACAGAGACGCTCATGAGTCCCACTGCAGTTTGCGCAACTTAGAGCAGCCAACGTGAAATGAGCTCACCGTCGATGGCCCCTCTCTTGAATTGTATCACTCTGGCACATTTGATGAGTCATGGCACGTTGTTCGGTTTTCGCTGTGTCGTAGTTTGACGGTTCTTCAGTGGGCGTTCTTTTCCATGGTTTCAGTTTCGCTTCCTCTGGAACCTTGGGCCATATGGAAACCATGGAAAACGCTTCAATGTGTCCCCTGGTTTCTCCTTGAAATGGGTTTGTCTTTGTTTGAGGGTACCCTTTCTGGTTGTTTTTAAAGGGACACCAACATTGCAGCTTTTTTGGGGTGTCCAGCCTCAAAAAGACGAGCCACCAGTCTGAAGTCTAAAGTTTCACCTGAGGGCCTGCTGCAACGGGCAGAAGGAGCGGGACTCAGACCTGCCCTGCGTGGCCCCTCTGAAGGCCATCCCACAGCTGAGGCGGGCGCTCGATGGTAAGCCCGCCCCGGGCGCTCGATGTAAAACCCTCTCTCCCACCTCAGTTGTCCAAAGCCGACCTTTTGACCTTTTGGTTTTCCAATTTTGGTCCATTTTTAGTAGAGGTGCAAAGGTTAACCTTTTAGTTCTGGGTCCTTTGGGCAACTGAGCCACTGCTAATCCGGAATCGGCAGGGAATGAGAAATGGAATGACCCTCAAGCTAAACCATCCAACTGGTGGCTTCCTGTAAGGGGACCAAAGCTTGGCTGAGCACCAGCAAGACTAGTATGCCCGCGGGCAGGAATTCCCTCCAAGCAGAAACATGTTAGTGGAGGGGGTGCGATAAATAATCGTATGCCAGTTGACCCCTACAATCATGACCAAGTTTGGTGTTGTAGCGCCCAAATCTCCAATTCCATGACCAACTTTGCGTTGGTTGCGCTAGCCTAAGCCCCCATTGCAGTTACCAAGACGTGCGCGTTACTTGGGGTGGTTTTCATTAAAGGCGTTGTGACCTGGATGCATAAGCCGGCAGCCATGGTGCTTGTGCGCACCCCCAGTCGTTTGCCGACTCCAACTCTGAATGGCTAAGACACGCCACAGAAGCCGTCTCCTAAGAAGCCTTATGGTCGCTAGCCCGGGGGATTGTGGTACGCTGAGGATAGATGAGCTTTGTTTTTGTCAGGTGTTTTTTAATGCTGACTTGTGCCCTTGGCCGGACCCCGGCAGGAGTTGAACGAATAGGGCAGACATCGTTGCCATTGACCTCTTTCAACCTGCTGTTTTTGGGGACAGTTCTGGTCACGGCTTCGCTCCCAAACATTGAACCTGCAGTGTCACGCGCCTTCCTTATTTGCCAAAAGACAACAGTCACCACTAGCAACAGTCCGCGGTGAATGCTTTGAATACCAATGTCCCACACCCGCATGAGGAGCGATCTACTTAATTCACTTTGCCTCTGCTGCGTCGCATGACTATGCGCCAAACAGGAAACAGTGTGGGGAATGCACACGCACACGCACTGAATAAGTACATTGTTTGCCGTTTGAGCTGGCCTCACAGGGCGTTGTACCCTTTAGGGAACGCTCCTCCTAGAGCGATACCTACGAAGAGGACCTATCCACAGCCTGGTGGAAAGTTGCAGCTCGGCCATTTTGTGCCATGCTTTCGGGCCCTCTCACAAATGGTTGCCGGACCAACAAACAGCTAGCATTGCCACAAGCTGAGTTTTTGCTTGTTTCGCCATCGTGTTTTTTTTTGGGGACCCGGGCCTGATTTCGGACTCATAAGCCAAAAAAAGTAGAATAGAGGTTGAACAACAGATTGGTTGAACAACAGATCAGCCGGAAGGCATTTTTCCTACGCCAGGCGTCCCATGCGGGAGCCTATGCCGCTGCCGGAGGAGGCAAGTGCCGTGTGGGCTGCGGGATCGTTCTCGCGGGTTTGTTTACATGCGCAAGCAAAAGGGTTGCTTCCCCAGAATTAGCTCCCCTTTTCGGTTTTTTGTTTTTTTTGGGTCCACTAAAAACAAGAGTTTTTTGCTGGGGTCCTAATTCCAGCCTAGGTTGTGGTTGTCAAAACCGTCTTGGGATCCCATTTTGGTTGGTAGGTGCACTACCCATTTTAGAACCTATTTTAGTGGGCATTGGAAAACAACATAAAACAACCAATGAATCAGTCAGTCAGAAGGACCGTTACTCGCCCACTCACTCGCTCAACCAAGCGAGCGAACGATCAATCAATCACTCACTCAAAGCAATCAAGCAAATCAACAAACAATCCAACAGTCGATCGATCGATCGATCGCTCAATCAAACATGCAAAAACACGCCTGTTGCATACATGCCCTCATGCATACAATTATCCAGAGTGCGGCGGCGGCGTTTTTCTTGTGAGCTTGTGCCTTGGCAAGCTGGACCCGTGTCAAAGCAAAGGTGAAGGGCATGTGTAGCTCACCAACGGCCCGGAACATTGATCAAACGTCACTCCTCTACGCTGTTCTTTTCCACCCAACCAACGCATGTGGTTTGTTTGTGTCTGTGCTTGGGCTGGTGCGTTTTTTTCCGGCAAAGGCAAGTAGGGGTTTTGTGTGTGTCTCGTCTCGGCCAAGGATTTTTCTGCGGGTCAGAGACAGGAGTTCTGCTTGCTGCTCTTTGTTGCATTTTGCTTGGATGTTAGGACTT